AAAACATGATAAATAAATTCGACGCGCGCCGAACATGGTAAATTCAATGTGTTTTACGTATGCACGCATGTAGGTATTGTGATCGAGTGTTAAACGAGCTCCGATGTACGAGCTATAGTTAAGAACTATCCCGAAAAAGAGAAGAAAGAAAAAAAACATTAATTAACACTTAATGTTTATGTGATTTTACGAAGTAAGGTGAAAATCCGTGTCTTCCATAATTAATGAAAAATTTGCGTATTATATGTATATTGTCATTATATTTAAATATAAGACATACAAAAACTGTCATCAATGTATATGTGTGTGTACATTCCCCATCTATAGTGTGATGTTGTTACAGTTTTCCCACAAAAGTAATAACCCTGTGTTTGTGTATACCGCTAGTCTAATAGAGTTAGATCTCAAATGGAAGCGTTTTTCAGGTCTCAATTTTGAGTGTACGCGAGCTTTCTAAAGAGTATCACTAATGAATGTAGTTACGATTAACAATATCGATAGTGAAATGTAGTTCAATTAGAAACGAGATTCGAACACGATCTTATTCATTCCATCGTTTTTCCACCGTCTATATTTGATGTTATAGATTGTAATAAAATTGGAAGGTAGTGTAGTCGGTAGAATATTAAAGAATAATTTATGCTATCAATCTGTTATTTTTTACTTTCTTTATAAACGGAAATCATAGTTAAAGCTAATATTGATGTATGTTGAAAGATGAATATTTCCCTATCAATTTTTGTTATGCTTTTGAAATTAGTATCTCCGTATTTTTAGCTACTTTAAAATTGAACAATTCTCCTCTTATGTCAGATAACAGCTTCCAAAGCTGATGGAATGAATAATACAGAACCCGAATTAAAGTTATAGGAATGACTGAGGAAGATTGCAGCCATTAGCTGATATTATTTGGTATGCAATTGATAACGATACCAAGCTCGTATGAGTGATACAATTAGCAATTACATACTTCAAATAATAAATGTCCAGGTCTCACCACGCGGAGGTTGCTGCATTGGAGACCCAGGAGCAGGATGAAAGGTATGTGTCACATGCCACATCACACAAACGATCCTTTATTATACGCCTTAATATTGAGAAATGTAATTATCAGGATAAGTTACTTTAATCGAAATCGAATTATTTGTCAGAAATAAAATGCATACACGCTAAAGAGCGCGTATGGAATCATTCGCTCGTGTCGCTTCGGACCTTTCGTCCTACGATATGATTCGAGGACTAGAGGAACAAAAAAACATGCGACTTACCGATTGCTGTTTTGAAATCTGTGTGTGCTTCGTTAGCAGCTATCGTAGTAGCTCTGCTTGGCTCTTCTGGGCTTTGTTTGGATCTGCTTGGCTCTGCTAGGCTCTACTGGGTTCACGAAAGCGGAAACGAGGAGGGAAGAATCTGTAAAAGCACACAGAACGCAATGATCAGTCCCTGCAGTTGCAATTTTAGAGATACCAATTTATAATGATTTGAGTTTGTAGATGCTTACATCTTCCATTTGTTAAGCATCGCTCAATACTCCTCTTCCAGTAATACACGATAAACATTGACTCTACTACGCGTATGCCTAAATCGCGTATCAAAATAAAGAAGACTTCTACCTACGTGTAAACACTGACTCGACCGACCGCCTTGCACGCGGTCACAAAGTCGCTGAAAGAAAGAGTGGGATAGGAGACAAGGTCGAAGCAGCATGGTTGTGCTTCCCTGGAATTTTTTTCTTTCCGATCAGAGTATTAGACACTGAAATACTGTTCTTCTTGACACTGCGACGATTCGCCCCTTGTTATTGAAACACAAGACCAAGAACAGGCCAAAGTCAAACGTTGGTAACGAACACGAATATCTGTAAATATTAGTAGTGAAATGTTACGGTCAAATATAATAAGAAATGTTAAACAGTAAAAATTTTTGCTACTAGTTGCAATGAGAATTTTGTCGTATCCAAAGATATATTACGATTTTCATAAATATTGGAAAACAGACTTAACACTAAACCTATAGGTATATCGACGTTCATTTGTAACTATTTCGAGATGGAACAAATGATTAGTCTTGAAAACATTCTATTTTTCAATTAAATGCAAACATAATTTACCTGGAACTGAATTGAATAATGCATGATACAATTGTATATAATGTATACGTATATTGCATATAAGTAATATATACTAATGTTTGAAAACGATCATTTGACCGGTCGTGGTAAATTTAGTGTTAAAGCTTGTAGTATCTTAATGTACAACCGCGTAGATTTTACTTGTATTCTACTTGAATTTAAACTTGCTACTGAAAATTGAACGCAAACCCAATTGCACCATAAAAATAGATTTGTCGAAGAATCTATTTTATTGTGTAAAATACGAGAAAATATGCAACCGTGATCAAAGTACGTTAACATGACGCCATTTTGAATTGTTACAAAATTTCAAATCAAAGAGAAGCTCGTATTAATATTGTTCCATAGTGATAAATTATGAAATCGCGCAACACGTTTACAACCAATGACAATTTATACGAGAAACAAAAAAAATATAAATACTTACATACTAATTTTGCCACACTTCGTGAAATCTCGTTCGAATTGAAGACGAATCCATCATGGCGTCGGTTAAAGCACCCCCGCGTTTGAATTTCAATCGGCAACCTGTAACACGAGAGAACGATTAGTTCAAGGCACATTCGTTGTCACGAGTACAGCTATCTTATGATAAAACGACAATCCAAAATTATAAATTGAAATAATTCCCAAATGATTGTAATTTAATTTAATGAAATGTTATCAATTTACACCGAGTGAAGAAATAGAAATCGCGAAGCCGATTGAACTTCTCTTCACTTCTTTCATTATCCCGATTGAATTAATCGTTAAAAGTCTATCGATATTATATAAAAGCACCAATAGAGAGTAAACGAGAGTAGTATTAGTAATTAGTAACGGTCAGATAGCAACAAGTGGAAAATAGATACCTAATTATTCGCGGAATACTCGATACGTCTTGTCGCGCGAACTTCCACGGAACTAATGCAAACTAATGGCGGTCGCGACTGCGCGACACAGCCCGTCGCGCGCCGCTAGGCGGCGGGTGGGGGTACCCCCATTTCTCACCAGGGCTGCGAGTAATTAATTACTTTTAAAATTAATTTCCGTCTTTAATTGACAATTAATTACAAACAATGTGATTAAAAATTATTTAATTAAAATTGAATTGAGCAGAATTAATCGAAAGTCGTTTAACTGACAATTGATATGAGCAAATTTAATCGAAGATATTTAATTCACGATTGATATGAGAAAATTTAATCGAAAATATTTAATTGACGATTGCTTTAAGCAGAATTAATTCAAAACCATTTAATTGACAATTACTTTAAGCTGCTTTATGTTTTTATTATATTACTTTAATTTATACCTATGGTATATACAGGGTGTCCCAAAAATGTTGTAACACCTTGAAAGGGGTGGTTCGGGAGGTGATTTGAAACAAGTTTTTCCTTAGCGAAAATGTTGTCCGAGGCTTTGTTGAGGAGATATTAACGAAAAACACTGACCAATGAGAGCGCGCGGATACCGTTCGAGCGGCCGCGGTAGCGAAGGCTACGAGCTAAGCGGCCGCGTCCAATGTCCTTCGATGCACGTCGAGTCGCTTGTTGCGTACAAGCGCGGCCGCTTAGCACATAGCCTTCGCTACCGCGGCCGCTCCAACGGTATCGGCGTGCTCTGATTGGTCAGTGTTTTTCGTTAATATTTCCTCAACGAAGCCTCGGACAACATTTTCGCTAAGGAAAAACTTGTTTCAAATCACCTCCCGAACTACCCATTTCAAAGTGTTACAACATTTTTGGGACACCCTGTATAGAAGCAACTCATTTTGATGAGGTTAATAGTATTTGGTATAATGCGTTTGTCGCTACAAATTGGTTTATATATATATATATATGTTTATTTATATGTGTTACTTATATAATTAATTGAATTTTATATAAATGTCTTTTAACATTGAAGATATAAACAAATCGTCAATTAAATGGTTTTGAATTAATTCTACTTAAAGTAATCGTCAATTGAATGATCTTCGATTAAATTCGCTCATATCAAGCGCTCATATAATTCGCTCATCTTTCGATTAACTCTGCTTAATTCAATTTTAATTAAGTAATTTTTAATTACATTTATTCAAAATATTTATTAATTAAGTTGATTGAATTAAATTTGTTTAAATCAATTATTTAATTAAAAAATTGTAATTGATTATTATTCAAACCCTGTTCCTCACTAACAATAAGGAAGTCCGATTTAAGTCGTTGGAAAGAAGGATCTCTTTACGATTTTTTTAAACATAATGTATTAAGTGAATCTTTATGAAACTTACAGGGTCTTTTGTTGGATATTTGGTGATAACAAATCATTTTTTTCGATGCAAAATTGTATGTGGAAAGCCATGTATATGGGCATGTTTATAGACTCCTCGTCGTCGAAGTTACGAATTTGCGATAATTGTAAAACCTCCAATGTTTACCTTAAACAAAAAAATAGATAAAGTGCCAGACCAGCGTTTAACACTAGGTTTACGAAGATATTTTCTTAGATTTTTCTATTACTAAAGTAATGTTTTAAGGTCGATAATTCAGTTTGTGAGACACAAACTTCTTTCAATGACCAGGTTACCATATTATCTTGCCTGTGGTAGATATCTAATAGAAACATTTGAAATTTTAACAATAAATGATTGTCTAGTTTTCATATACAATACAGTTAGTTGCAAAAGTGTCATCAAATTTGAAGTAACGTACTTTTTTTCATAATTTCCTAATAATTTAAGAAATTTCATTTCCAAAGTCCATTTGTTTCCTTTGGATCTTACATACAATGTTAGACTATAGAGATTTTTAAATTTCATTCAAATGTAACTAATTACTTCGAATATTAGATTTTGTTATAAGTTCAAAAATCGATTGCTTTAGCTCTCTCTGAGGCTAAGTTCAAGTCATTCGAACAATAGTGGTGTCCAATGATTATGGTACCGGTTAGTGCCGCTTCTGAGAGCATTGTCAAGCATTGTGGCGTCAAAACAAATGTCACGTTTGCCTTGTAAACTAATTTTTGGTTTACTTATGATTTTTTGTTTTGCTAGAAGTGTTAGTAGCCAAACTTATAGAAATATGAGCATTCTTACGGGACTTCACTCTGTAGTGTATGTTACTGTCCCGACACAGGAAGTTGCCAAAACATTAGCACAGCAAGTATTAATTTAATCCGAAAACAAATGGATTTTTTCGAAACAATTACATTCTTTATAATTTCACAGTGGCTTGGTGAGAAATAAGTTAGCCGCATGCGTTAATATCATACCATCGATCACATCAGTGTAAGTATTATATGCAGTTAACATAAAAGAGTGACTTTAAAGCAATAATCAATTATCATTTACAGGTACGAGTGGAAGAACGAAATTAACGAAGACAATGAACTCTTACTGGTATAAATACATTAATTATAAGAGAAATATTATGATAATATTAAAATATATTTCTAATTTATTATTGTTCCAGATGATGAAAACTAGGACCGATACTGTAGATTCTTTGACCAAATATGTAAAGTAAGTATAAATTTAATAATTCGAAATTGCACTCTTAAATTTTACTGATTCTAAATTCTATTTAAACAGGGAAAACCATCCATATGAAGTTTGCGAAGTAATATCTTTACCTGTAAGTTTTGTTTGTACTCTAATATGTGTACAATGTAATTTATAGACAAATCTTACATCTGCATGCATCTTATTACAGATTCAAAATGGAAATGAAAAATACCTCCAATGGATCAGTGAAATAGTTCCACCTATTGATCAGAGATTAGGAACTGAAAATTAATTATTCCTTTTCTGTTCGTGTTTGGTGATATTTTGATCCATTATGTTATAGCAGAAACATATATTTACTATATATTAAAATAATGCATTTAAAAAGTGCTTTTGTGAATATTTCATGATTGTGAAAAATTATATTAAACCATTTACCAGGAAACAAATTGTTTTATTAGAATATAAAATTAAAAGTACTATAACTGAAATCGATCTGAACACATTGATATGTATACATGAATATAGAAGTAAGCATTAAGTAATAGCAGTTTAGTGAAGTATCTCCATATCTGATACTACGTACAACTACAAGAGTAAAACTTACATAAATCAATATAAAAATAAGTACTATAACTATTAATCGTGTGTGTTTTCTTCATTTCCTACAAATTTTGTTCTCTCTGCAATGAAAATATTATCCTTATCCTCGTATTATTAATATTATCATCAGTCATTTTTATTATTATAAGTATTAGTGATAATAAAGTTCATTATTGTTTCGGTGGATTACATACGCAAATTTTATATGCCTGCAAAATTTGCTATGATATATTAAGCAATATAGGCATACATATGCCATACTTATACGAATGTATATATATTATAACAAATTACTCGTAGTTCAGTACCATTCGTTACAGGAATATTACGTAATACAGTCTAGGTAAATATTAATTCGTATTTGAAAGGTAATCGTTTCATGAAAAGTTAATGTTATCTGCCACCCCCGTAGCCTGGATAAAGTAATAACAATGAAGATGATAAAGATTGATTGATTTCCATCTTATAATTTTTGTCTAACAAATGACGACACGATGGGCAACAATGTACACCAGATGAAAAACTACGTTTTAAACAAACATGGCAAATATTATGCGCACACGGAGTCGTTACTGGATTAAAAACCACTTCTAAACAGCAAGGACATATGAACCTGCAATTTAAAAGGCATTAAAAATAAAATCTTACCAGTTACCATACGTAAAAAAATAACAATACCTTTCCGATACTTGTTGTAAAAACGCAGCTTTTCCATTTGATAAAGCTGTACGACATTCGTCCCACAACTTCGCATTTCCTTGATCTTCGTTAATCAATTTCTCTAGTTCGCTTTCTAATTTATAAGCTTCGCGTTTTCGTTTCTTTTTAGGTGGTTCCTCTAGTATTGAAGCAATAGAATTTTGTTGTTCTGTAAACTCGTTTCGTTTCTTATTTGTTTTATTTTTTGCCATTGCTTCTAAGTATCCATCTGGATACATTGGCTTGAAATCTAATGCAGCTATCCGTTCTTTGCCCTCTTTAGTCCATGGTGCGGGTGCAGGATCATCCCTTCTTAATAAATATCTCCATACACGAAAGCCACTTTTACCTGTATCTGGATAATATTTTACCACTTTATATATACCGTCGTACCTAAAAGAAATTTTTATATTACGTAAAACGTAAGTACTATTATTTATTCAAGCAATTTATTTAAAAAATAATAATTGATGTACCTGTTGCCTTCCTCAGGTGCGTATTTACTATGTTTAGCAAGCTTGAAGTTCCTTACTACTCTTACGGGTATACCGCCCCTCCAATCTTCGGCTGTAGCACCAACAGTTGCGTTAAGTTTGGCATTGCAATTTACTGCTAAAGCCTTATTCATTCTAGTCAATGTTTGATCACAACTCTGTTCAGCCGTTCTTTTGTTCCCTTTATAAATATAACGTATCGATTAAAATACAATAAATTAATTTATAAATAAATATCTTACCTGATAAGTCCCTTCCTCCAGACCCAGTATACATAAATTCATCACCATTGTCAATATCATCCTCGTACCCACCGGATAACACGATGGAATATGCGCAATCAGTTTCGCGTCCGTGAATTCCAGCTATATGCGGTCTGTGTACACCAACTTCGGATACCTGTCATTTATTTTTCAATTTATATATGTTACACCCATTGTTAAAATTAATAATTATTTAAAATTTTTAGTTACTTGTACTCTGTATATCCAACACATTCCAACTTCTACTCCTGGAACAGGTCCGCGATGATTTGGTGGTACTATACTACACTCTTTTGTCCTTCCCACACATGCCATTCCCTTACCCCAATCTCGTTTACTGTTACTATTTTCATTGGTTTTTTTTTTCGTCTGCTTCAATTTGTCACCTGCCTTTAAAAAATTAGCATTTATACAGTCATAAAATCACTGTAAGAGTAGATTTACTGCATGATGATTAACCTTTACAATCTCGTTTTCATCATTTTTACATTCTGCGCAATACCAATAATCTTCTTCCGGTATAGACGTTAACGGGGGATTTAAACATCGTAAGTGATACGCGTTGTTACATTCATCGCATAATAGAAGATTATGTTCATCTTCTTTTCCACCACATACTCTGCAACCGCATTCCTTACATTTCGTGCGAGGATTATCCGAACATGCATTACAATTAGCTTGTACGCGTCTTCGTTTACCATTACTGATCATGTGCTGTTCATCTTCAGGGGTTCTATCTTTAAGAAGTTTGGCCTCCTCTATTGCGAAAATTTCACTTTTTGGATTTACTTTACGATTTTCGAGTTGCTGATCCCTATATTGAAATAAAAATAATTACTTTAAATTTTTATTACTCTAAACTGTACATCAAACTTAGTTACCCACTATTAAGTTAAATGTTAATAATGTCAATTACCTTCCAATATGAAGAGTTCCTGTAAGTTCCTGTACTCTTCTCTTTTTATCTATTTTCGATATTGTGAAATCATACCACAGCCCAGTCTCTTTGGGATCATCAACATTATGATTGATCATTACTTTATCACCTATTTTTAAGGCATCAAACCGCATAAGGCGCCTCGCGCGTGGTCTTACAGATAATTCAGGTACATTAAAATGTGGTGCATTGTCGTCAAATTCCCAACGTACATTATAAATAAGTTTATCTTCCTTTTTATAGATTTTTAATATTATTGCCTCGAACCAGGCTCCATAAGTTGGATCAAGACAATCTACAGCATCTCCATCTTTATAATATAAACTTTCAGCTTCGACAAGTGTCTCATCTTCGTTAGAATTATCTATATTGTCTGTTTCAGATTTAGAATTAGTAATAGTAGAACTCGTAGTAGTAGAACTTGTAGTACTACTAGAGGTAGCTTTGATTTTTGCATCATCAACATTTACTCTCATCATTAACTGAATGACATCATTTAAGTTGATATTGTAATCATGAAGCTTATAACCATTTTCTAACTGTTTTCCACGAAAAAACAATCTTTGCAAATCAGCTTTCACATTAAATTCTTTTTCAATTTCGTGCTGAAAAATAAGACAAAGATTATTACATATGAATAAAACATACATATACCCTTCCATAATGTTGGTATTACAGTAAACTTAAAAATAATTGTTTTTATTTTAAATACAAGATTTTACACATTCTCTATATAAATACAAACTATATCAATGTATATAATAATATAGCTTTTTTATTTGTCTATAGGGTGTGTTATATTTTAAGTCGAGTAATAATATCATGGTAATTGAAGCTTTCATAAAATGTCGCCAACTAAACTTCGCCATATTTAATCAAGAACGTTCAAGCTGCTTATGCTTTACGTAATAAGTAATATGCAAGAATAAACCATCTACTTGTTAAAATTTATACACATTTTCCTCTCACATATACTATACATCACTAATAAATAAATTTAATAACTTCTACTTTCTTATAAGTAAGAAACAAATGCTACAAGGATATATTGTCTGTAATAAGTATCATAGATAGGAATGTAAACTATTAATAAATACTGAAATTTCCCTTCCATCTTCGAAAGGAATACTTTTGATTCTAAATATACACAGAACCAAGTACCTTAAAGTCTTCCACCTCAGTCAATTTAGAGATAGTCAGTATTGCCTCCTGTTTACCATCTATTGTTCGCACTTTAACGTACATTTTGATGCGTTCGTTTAATCAAATATTCTCAAATACTCGTGGCTCTCTATCGTCTATTTAACAGTTACGTTTTTGTATCGATTCACAAACAAAAGACGAAAGTAAAGATTTAAATTACTTATCAACAACAGTACATCTAAAATTTAACAAATTTCGCGACCAATAGTCGCTGTTGATCGCTGTCAGAACTAGCCTCACCACTTGTTGGCACCTAATGAGAATGGAAATTTGGCGGGAAGAAACCATGAGGGCACGTAACGGAAAAACTAGAAACATCTGACATGCGCATACTACGTCTCTCTCATTGGTAAATTATTTTTGGTTCCAACAAAACAAACGAAATACATTTTTTATAAAAGCTTATCAGTTTTCGGTAAATTTGTCGATTACCATTAATTATATAGTGTTAACTTATACATCTTCTAGTGTCTATGCTTTTCTTAAATAGAATGGCATTATATAATAAAGTAACTAGTACGGACAAATAATGATACACTTTTTATACGAATGCTTTGGAATAATTTTGTTCGAAACATGAACGAAATAAACGTTTGTTTCTTGCACATTAATGGAGGATAATTCTACGTTGTATTACTGTAAATGCACCCGAAGATATTCGGAGAAAACAATTTGTTAAAAGAAATAAATTCTAATTGACAATCGGTGAACTAGTTTTGATTTTAGTTTAGAAATATCTAATTTTTTGAATATATTCTAAAAAGTTATATTAGACAAATTTCATTTAGATGTTTGAATTAATACAGTTAAACGGTAATCAGAATTAAATTTTGTAGGAATTTATAATTATACCATAATTTTACTGCTCGTTATCAAAGGAAGTTTCAAGGTAGAAATACCTGCACTGGATTTCTAAAATAATAATCCAGTTTGCAAACACCTACAGAAATACAGAAAATTACAATTATTTCTTTTTTTTTTCTCTTACATGGTTATACATAACGTACACGCAATTTACATACAATTATTCTTAAATGCGATTAATACATAGCATCATGAGCAGAAATCGAAAATTGTTAGTTTTCTGTATAAAAATATCGGAGAAACGATTGATGGAACTGTAAGATAAAATTACAATTTATACAAATATATAATAATATGTAAATATATATTAAAATGTATTTATACATACATAACTGCATTTATACTAATTCTATAATTAAACCGATTTTTAAACAAAAACTTTGATGTTGTAATCCTTACAAAAATCACTATATGGTCGTCTTATATAATTATATATTAATGATATATAATTTACATTAATTAAATCAAATATGACTATGATTACAGTAGAATTAATGTATATAGTAGAAAGCGGAACGACAAAATTGCTACTATTTTTTACAAAACTAAAATGCTATTATGAAAGGTATAATTACATATTAACAAGTAATTCGCAAACTTATAATCATTATAATAATACAGTTCATTTATAGACGTAAATTCACAGTTTCTGCTCTTATAATTTATATGGTAATCGCAACTTATATAATTACATATTAATATATAATTAATATGATTCATGTATAATTACAATCGTAATGCGGTTAACAGTTCCGTCTTTAAATAGAATATGGTCTAGTAGAAAATGTTGTTCCACATGCGGCACAACCTATGGCTAAGCAGCACGATATGTACCGGTACAAAATTTCCATAAAAATAATGGAATGCTCTTGTTACTCTTAAGAAAAACAGCAATAATAGTTATAGTAAATAGTTTTATCATTCTTTCAATGTCACTTTACGACTAGAGAAATTAGAACAAAATTGCTCTTAATTTCAACAAAAGGAATAATATGTAAACATTAAAACATACTCCGATTGCATTCATGAATAATAATAATCATTACGAAAATGTTGATGATAATGAGTGAAATTATTTTATTTTGTTCTAAATATTTTAAAATATGAGTTATTTGCACTTTAACATAGTGTGATATTTGCCTTCAATATTTGACATATAACACATTTTCTACTTAATACGATATTAAATAGGAAGAATATTTTGATATTTTTAATTGTATCTGTTTAGCTTTCTTTTGGATGTCCATGCCTTATTGTAAAAGAAATTTATTAACAAAGGACAGGTTTAAGATTAATATAAATTTACTATAAGTACGAAACTATTAATAATTATGAAACACGTGAATTTATGAAATTTAACGGAAAAATAAATGTTATTAAAATAAAGAATAAAATATTAAGAAAACGATCAAAATAATTCCAATTATAATTATGGTCTATTCAAGGGTATTAACTCTATAGAGGATTATAAAACGGACTGATTCTGTGTACCGGTACATAAGTTAGCTGCTAATGTAAATCTAAATTGTCATTATAGAACTCTCCAAGTCAACTTCATTGCTCATCACACTTGGAAGACCTCTGTTAAATCTCCTGATTGTCTTCTCCAGTCTCATTATCTACAAACTCAACATGTGTGAATGGAAAGTGGCCGACCTTGCCATGTAATTCACCTTCCCACTGGCCATTTATGTTAGTCTTTGTAACTTTTATCACGTCTCCAACTTCAAGCTTCAGGGCAGTTTTATCATATGCGTTTGGTACTCTTGCTTGTTTTACTTTTGCAAATGCGGGCAAAGTTCGCTGAATGTTTGATCTGCGAGTAGTCCCTTGTCCACTTTCTAGAAAAGGCATTTGCGAAGCAGAAACTTGTACAGAATTTGAATTCAAAGTTGAACTTCCACCGCTTTCTGGGCGTGAATTATTCTCCATAACCGAATGATTGTCCTCTTCGTACTTCTGAACATATGGAACTGGAACTGAACCAGTTTGACCAACACTGTTTTTAGCAGTCCACCATTGTTCTTCATCTCTTGATATTATCGTCAGAATTTCACCTGTGACAGATTGTACAATATCATTATTTGTTCAAATTACTAATCATTACTGAGAAGTCAGAAATCTAATATTACACATACCTTTTCTAAAAGGTAAATCATCAGAATCATTCCCTTCAAAATCATATTTTGCTATTACCCTTTGTAACTTTTTAGGGGCAGGTCTAATCAATGGTGTTGTGTCCAAGTAATGTAATTTGTAAAAAGCCAAAAGGTTGGGTATGTCAGGAAACATTTGATCTCCGATCCGATAACGTATTTGATCGCCTTGCTGAATTTTATTTATTATGTAATGGCTAACCTTACTGTCTTCTCGTACGCAGAGAACAAAATCTCCAATTATTGATGTGCTGTCACGTACTAAAAATACACCACCTTCTCTTTCACCCATTAGTAAATCCGAGGCATCTTGACGTGACATTGCACCAAAGTACCAACTAAAACATCAGTAATAAAATGTATATCATAAGCTTTAATAAAGTAATTCTTTCTTTTTGGTACTAACAAGTTCAGTAAAAAAAAAAAATAAATAAAACCTAAATTGGTGTATATGAAATATACAGAGTGATAAAAAGAAAGATCTAAAACTTCAGGAGTTTATATTTATAAATTTATAAGTATATAATACCATAAGTATTTTTATAATATGATAATGTAAACAGAAGACTTAGTTTGGAAGTACATTGGTTCAAGATTATATAACAAATTCTACTTCAAACAAAATCTACTTTATAGAAAATATATCTTTAAAGATTGAGTAAAAATAAAAAATAAAAACCGGCGTTCGTATTAACCTAATAAATGATAGCAGTTGTCATAACTTTAAAGGTTAATAATAGATTGAGCGAGGTTTATTATTCGAAGAAATATCAGGAGTAAAATTGAGAGTGAAGTAATACGTATAAAAACGTATCGTTATTTACCTGGACCTGTCATATTGATCGAAAGTAGCAGCCATTGTTTTGCAAGTAATCGGAGATAAATCCGTCAAAATCGGCAGTGTTGAATTATACTTGTTGATCAATATATCGTGGGATCGGGAGCGCCTCTCCTATGTGTGCGAGAAAAGGACCCGGAAAAAGTAAAAAGCGCAACAGGGCCTGGATGGCGCGGCGAATACCGCTCTTGTGTGGGACGGAGGAGGCCCGGGTTCAAGTCCCCAAGTCCCTCTCTTTTTCCGCGGATCCTGCAATATCAAAGAGCACCGTTCTCGAAGTGGCTTAAACGTCTGCATAGTAAAAATAAACAGCAATTCGAAGCTGTTGTAGCTCAATGCAGTGTTTAAAACCGTCTCCAAATTGAAGAACGTGCTATCTCCGTAAATAATACGTTCAAAAACCTTTCGTCAATAGTCATCGATCGAGTTTTGAGAATCGCTTGTCAAAAAGACTCGTGCGAAGTTGCGTATCTGTTTGAACGATTGCAAACATGTTCGAAGCAAGCCCTTACTTCCTCTATTGTTTTTTTAGGTTTTCACCCCTCACGTCGAATATGTTGCACTTTACCGCTCCTCCCAAGTTACACAAAGATATAATATACTTATTTACGTACAAATAGTCCTCGAAAAAGTCTCTGAACTTGCACTCTCACGAAAATGGTCGTCAGCATATTCCACTTAAACCTATGACATAAAAACAGAAGCCAATGATTTGTTCAAGTTTTGCAAACTAGATATAGAATGAACAGAGTGGAAACTTTGGCAAGATTCTCAGAAAAAAGTATTTTTAGCGCTATCTAACGTCTCGATAAAAGAACTAGGATCTTCCATTGTTCATCATTTATTTTTAAGTAAATAACTCTTGTTGAGAGGAATATGGCATATCAAAAGTATCCTCTAATTCTTATCAGTATCGTACAGATAAAATGATGTCTTCTGTGATTAGATGATAGATTCTAATCACACATATTTATATTATACCAGCATTCTGGTAATAAAATCATGTGACTTGCGATAGAATCTCATTGGTTTGCTATATCTTCAGTTATAAGATACCGCATACAGGATCGATAAACATGTTTTTATTTCTTTTATTTTATTTTATATTTTTACGTACTTCTTGTTATTGACTTTAACACTGCAAATATATATACTTATTTTACATGAATAGTAACTTGTATAGTTCTTATTGAATCTTCGCCATTTCGGTACTATGACCGATCACGTGATGACTCGATCCGATAAGGGTGCGCAGCAGAGATGGGCAAAATCCTAGACTTCGAATAAATCTGAAGTTTGCCGATATGTTTGTTTCGTTTCCTTCTTTGGAAAATTTTTAAAAGAGGAAACGAGACAAACATATCAGCAAAGTTCAGATTTATTCGAAGCCTAGGGTTTTGCCCATCACTGGTGCGCAGGAGACCCAGCAAAACTCCGAGTTGACTTCAGCGACAGTTGCGGAAAAAGTAGGAAACTCCGGAACAAGGATAGATAGATCCTTGTCTCTTCAATGATGCTGTGACAGAGGAGGAGATACAACAATCGGAGGAGAGACAAAGACAGAATGATGTCAAACATTTGCAATTTTTCATCAGTTATTTTCATCCTACTAGACGAGGAAGCGACCTTTCCAGCTCATTCTTTTTTAAACTGTTCCTTATAAAATTCCGCTGCGGGGGATAGTTACAAATTTTGCAATTTCGCTTTTGAAACATGCTAAAAATACGTTCAAAGGCAAGACATTTTTTTTCAATTTTTTCCGAAAAACGCTTGACGAGACGATGGATTTACTTCCCCTGATTACGAAGTGCATAATTATTATATATTTTTGTTCATTATTGTGTCTGAAAAACGCGAAAAACTATTTTGTCAATATTTCTAAAATTTATTTACACGAGAATAAAATATCGAGGTTGAAGAAAAATATTATTTCACTTTTCATGAATTTATTATCATCTCTGTTTGCACTTAATTCCTCTGAGAAATTAATATTCATTTGTATTTTCTCTAAAAGACCCCGTTATCCTAGAAATTGCATAGTATGCGTTGTAATTAAAACAAGAAATAAAATTTTTTAACAGTTTCAGTTAACATAATCCTAAAATAAACAATGACTCGTGTTATGTAGAAAATTCATCGAGCCAATTGCGTAATTAATGCTGCACACATTTCAAAGAATTCCATTGTATGATGACCTGTTGCTTGAGGCGGCGGAAGTGTAGGGTCTGAAATAATAATGTACATAATAAAAGAACAAATATCACGTAGCGATATAATTTTTTACCTCGTCCTATTTCCTCTCCTTCTTCACTGGACAAAGACTTAAAATCCAGTAAATAGCTTTTATAATCAACTTGATACAGTTGTAACGACATCTTGCTGTACTTGTCGGCTAATTTATTTTTTTGCCGTACTCTAACACTGTAGGCATTTATGATTTTCCATTCCTAAAGAAACAAATGTTTCCGTTAATATTAAATAGAGACATGTCCAAGTTTATCGATTTGATAAGCCATAAATGTTTAATACCATACAAAGGATTAATAAAGGAAGTATCTTACAAAGCTAAGAGCTTTCATAGCACGGTAGACTTCGTTCATGATATCATTGGGTTTAGATTGTGAGCGAATTCCTAAGTGCCATTTGGCTCGTTTTACTGGAGTACGATTACCTTGCGTCTGGGATGACGTACTCCCTTGAGAACTTTGTCGTTCTCGGAATGCTAAAAAAAAATTTTATAATGATATAGTAGGATTAAAAATTGTATAGGTTCTGTTATTCATAGTTTTCAGATATTAAACGTACGTGCTATTCTCTCTGGATGTGGTCTCAGAGGACTGTTATTAGAATCATTGGGACTAAAAGCAACAGGAGGTGGGCTAGATGCTACATAGAAATCTTTTAATTCCGCCTTAGCAGCCTCATCAGCGATTCTTTTATTGTCTATTATCAAATGATAGGCAATCGCCAATTGGTCGTGGGGATCTCCACCTAATAATGCAGAATGAACTTCTGCTTCCTTTACATTAAATTTCTCGCAAACTTCGTTTATTGCATCTATATCGATTACAGAAGAATCCTGTTCAACGGGCGACGGGAACAAATACGAAGGTAAATCCTTTTGGAACCATTCATGTTTCCTAAAACAAAGACAATAATTGTAATCATTTTAAACGCTAATATGTTTCTTTACAGACTATCGAAATTATTTGTGTAAAATTGAATGTACTTGATATCTTCAATAGTGGCCCTTTTCATAGGGTCCACTTGCAACATATGACATAAAAGGCTGACAACAGTTTTATTTAGGTATTCTGGAATGGGGAAAATTCCAGCTGAAACAAAAATCCTTTCATAGAGAGTCCGCAGAGGAAATAAAAATATCAGAAATAAGAATTACATAAATATTACTTACATTTGATTTTACGAAATAGGGTAGATACATGTTCATCGTCGAATGGTAGAGTACCACAAAGTAAAGCATACAATATTATTCCACAAGACCAGATATCTACTTCTGGACCAGCATAAAGTTTACCCGAAATTACTTCTGGCGCCGCGTAATTAGGAGAACCGCAGGAAGTACGTAAAAACTCTCCATCCATCATCATGTTTGATAAACCTGAAGTTAGATTAAATTCTATAAGTATTGATTTAATTTATTTAACATACAAGACATTCATATAATTCTCCATGACTCATAATTATTTTTTAAACTCTTTCAGTATAATTTTCATAAGACATTAAATACAATTGTATAAATGAAGTATAAAGGAATAAATTTTATTAAAATTTGAATGTCTTGCATTTTTATTCAAGCTTTTATTTGATGTGCGATAAAATCCCAGCTATATCCAAATACCGAAATCTGCTATTTTTACATGTAGATTGTGGTCTAACAGAAGGTTTTCTGGTTTTAAGTCACGATGAACTATCATATGCCTGTGACAATAATCAACGCCTGAAATAATTTGCTGGAAAAATCTTCGTGCCTCGTATTCCTTAAGTTTTCCATGTTTCACAATATAGTCAAACAATTCTCCACCAGATACATACTCCATTATCATAAATATGTCTGTGGGTGTGCTTATAACTTGATATCTAATTTAAAAGATAAAATTTAAATGATAGTTGTTTAACATTATAGTATCTAATGTTATTTACTTACAATTTAATAATATGAGGATGTCTAAAAAGTTTAAGATTTTGTATTTCTCTTCGAATTTTTCCAACCACATCTAGACTTTTGATTTTCTGACGATTTAGAATTTTTACAGCAACTTTATGTTTTGTTAAAACATGTTCTCCAACTACAGAAAATATAAGTTCCATTGATTTATTAATTTGACAAAGAATAATAAGAATTTAATTAAAGAAGAATAATAGTGTACATACTTTTTACTTTACCAAATGTTCCAACACCCAAAGTTTGTCCAAGCGTATAATGTCCTATCTTAACGATAGGCTGTGGTTGATTAGAAGGAATTCTTTCAGACATTGTTGATATTCCTATTATTTATAAGAAATTAAAGGAATTACTAAAACCTGTTAAATAGGATAAAATGTCTCATAAATCATGATACAATAATGATGTTATAGATGAAAAACAAGATAAAATGTTCTTTAAATAGATTCAAAAACAAATTTTTCAAGACACAGACACTCGAAACAAATGAAATTCGATGTGACTTATAATTTGAAAGTGTATCAGTGAAAATCAGAGCGTATAAGGTCAATTATCGATTATTGTTAATATTATTCAACGCAAATAATTACTTACATTACATAAATCTAACAAATTTGTCAAAACGTAAACCAAGGTCAAACAGGGTGTAAAAATGAATTAATATCGTTCGTTAATCGTATAATCCCACGAAAGTAACAATGCTGGATCGAAGAGTACGAGAACAAACGTACGTTAAATAAAAAAAAAAAATATGTATCGCGAAATGGAAAACAGATCGCTAATGATTTAAATCACCTGACATTATTTACATATTCTGACACTTACTATCTCTAAAATACCATTACATACTCAATACGATATTTCGATCATTTATCATGTAGATAAAAGAACAGAAATCTACTGGTAAATTTTGTTGTGGTATTTCTGATTCGTAGAAAAGTAGAACTTGTAGATCACTGAAATGTCTGGATAGTTGGATTGGCGGTACATATGAAATTTACTTTTGCCTATGAAATATGTATGATATCGTACTACTTAATTTTTTAATAACTGTAAAAATGTCTTCAATCTAATTAGACTCGAAGGTCGAATCAGTTATCTACGTATTCTATATTTTTGAAAATGTAGACCCTTCGTTTATTTCAGACCTGTAATTATTATTATCGAATAGTTCTAGGACATTTTTATGTATGTGTGTGAGGGGGGATCTGTTAATATTAATTATTAATTTATTAATTAAATTGTCGAACCTGACTATAGTGCAGAGTTGACAAATTGGCAATTTGATTGGCTGGTTCGTTATATCGAAGATCTCCAAGCGTAGATGTAATTTATTACTCAAGAGATTACGTAATTTCTCTATATATTTAATTTGATCAAATCTACGTTTTTTAGTAAAATTTTGATGGATCGGACGATCAGACATCACAACTGCGTATGTACCTGGTGTATGATTGAGCACCTCCACCACTATGAATACTTCAGCTGATTTCAGCGTCGGTGTCGCCGATTTAGGCTGATTGCTACTGATTGCTACCGAAAAAAAGATTTCTAATGCATGGACAAATTAACGTTTTTATTGCAGCTTTAATTCTACGTTTATTTAAAATATTCTCGAGTTCATTCAGACAAAACGATCGCAAGGTTTTATTACATACCCCAATCGTATTAGTTGTTTAAAACTTCTAACATAAGACATACCCACATTAAAGCAATAATGATTTTAATGTATTAGTAATTAGTACAATTAATATTTGGCATAATTACAAATATATAACACTTTAATATCGTTAAAGAAGAAATTAGAAAAGTACTTCTATATTTGTATAAGTATAATTAAAGGGTATAGTCGAATATATTCGTAAATCCAATTAGACTTGCGATGGGTTAATGCATAGCTTAAAAAACAAAAAATTTGCCAATTGTTACAAGGGGTTCATTGTTTGTATCCACACCTAAACGTACAGCTTATTTTAAATTATACTATGTTTATTTTATTTTGATAATGAAGGGTAGATAAAATTGTTTATACAACAGACTGTTTATAATATGTAAATGTAACAAATCGCAAAATACACTTAAATCGTAAATTTGATACGTATCTAAACAAAATTTAAATGCGATATAATATTATTCGAAACGATTTTGCTAAGTTCTGTTGCAATTTGTAATCTATTGTTTGTACACAGAATCAAATCTATTTCGACTTCTAAGACGAGTTTAATAGACTAAGTGTGAGTACTAGGTTAAAAATCTAACATAAAAAAGTATATGAAAAAATACAATATGTGTTTTTCCACTGTATAGATTATTCTATAATAAAATAAAACCTTTTTACGTAAAAGCAAGATATTTTTTTCTAGCTTACTATGAAATAATCATTCTCTATAATGCTGACTAAAGGTTAAAACTCACACATAATAGGTACATCAAATGGACGCATTCGTTAAAAAAGTTGGCAAATAACATTTTCTTCTTATACATGTATACATAAGTATTATAAGATTTCATTCTTGCTTTTATAAGATATCGAAAATATCCAATTCTTTAGTGGTGCAAGATTGGTTGACATTTAAAAATCATTGTTAATAGTTCTAATATAGACACTAACAATAGCAACAGGAAAAATAATAATACATATAACAATGATGGTGACAATAATTGCAATACCAATTGTAATAGCAATAGCAGTAGCAACAACAGCAGTGATGATAATAGCATTAATACCAATAATAATTATTATAAAAGAATAATAATAATGACGATAACAATAATCGGATCATTATCATTAATTAAAAATCAATCAAGTTAAAAATGATAATGATGTTATTGGTATTAGTAAAAGTAAAAATAATACAAAGAGTAATAGAAGTGAAACTATTAACTGCAGGAGTAGTAGCAATAATAGCAGGCGCAGCAGCATTAGCAGAAATAATCAGGTGCAATAGTGATAATAGCACTGATAATAGTAATGTTACCGATAATGACGATGACGACGATTGGTGATGGGAAGGAGAAGGAGGAGGACTATGATAATTACGATGACTACAACAATGATGATTATTACGATGACAACGACGATAATGACGATGAAAATTATGATACACTATTTCTACAGTTCCAACAGTATCTTGTTACTAAATACGACTTAATCCATTGTTTTTATAAATTCAATTGCCGAACAAAATTGCGTCCACCAATATTGTTCTTCGCCTTCTAGTCGATTTCCATAGAAACTATCCACGTATTGTACAGTTGAAAGCAAGGACGGCGGATTAGTCTGAAAAAAGTAGTCGAAGAATAGTTTGAAAAGCATCTTAATTGCGGATGATAACGAATGTAACTTGCCTTTATGATAACGTAGATCAAAACAGGAATGAGATCGTCGGCCGCCGGTACTCCCCTCTCAGTTGCCATTGAAAGCAGATTCATAATAGTCGTAGCACAACGAAATACGCATTGTAGTTTATCTCTAGGAGTTTTATACGCTGATATTACAGCTAGCTCAGCTTGAGCCCACGGCCAGGGACATTCGTAATGGTATATTTTAGGAATTCGTAGATCTTTGTGATTAGGCGTCACAACTTTGGCCAGTTTCTTAATATGATCGTGAAGCAATTGATCCCGATTAACATCACCGTCTCCATTCGGATAGAGTGCGTTATGATAAACACGCGCCATAACAGTTCTCTCCACCACAGCTCTGGCTAACACCAGTTGATTCTCGCTCGCGCCTATAATTATGTAATTAATCAGCATAATTATTTCAACTCGGATCAAGTATTACTTACATTGCCATATCGGATCATTATCCATTTTTGCATGAACCTTTCCCAAAAAATTATCGACTAAATCTTGTTTCTCATCTGCCAACGTCAGTTTCTTGAATTCATCACAAAAACGCAAAAGAAGCGACTCTTTTTTTTCTAAAAAGACCCTTACGCAAACGGATACGAGATGATTGTTAACGGCATCACGGTCGCATTTCACTCTAACGCATAACCTTTGCACAATCACATAATATTGATGTTAAAGTTGTCTTTGAATGATGTAGTACACCAAATCTAAACTAAATCGATGAGAAATCGTACCTGTCTAAATGAGCTAACGTGGAAAGTAATCCTTGTCGACATCTGATCAAGTACGCGACATAAGGTGATCGTTTTTGATAATCCTCGCGCAACGATTTGAACAGTTTCCTGCATCCCTCGTCGTTGAACAGTCTTACGCAACGCAATGTTTCGTGTAGATGAGCTATTAACGCTCTATCTTGCAAATTGATAGCTTCTGCTAGCTGTAGTTGTAGAAAAGCGACCAGTTCGTTTTCTTTTTGGGACCAAAAGTTCCGCTGCAGTAAATGATGATTTAGACAAGAAATTAAGTTAACAGGTACTTAGAAGAACTTGGCACAATTATACGAAGCTACCTCGGATGTAGGAGTCCAGGAAATATGCTGAAGATCAGCGTTACTGAGTACCATGCGTAACTTTCTTTTCGCATCGGCAAACGCATACGAGAGTTCGATGTTATTCGGATCTATCAGTAGCCTCTCGTCCTCTGTTGCTTCCTTCGTGCGAGATTGATTACTCTCGATCGATGCCGTATCACTCGCGGTGCTCGGTTTTCTCCTGTATTTGGCCAAGATATCGTCCGTACTATCTAGGATGTTTCGTACATCATTCTTTTTGTTATTGTTTTCTTTGTATCTCTATCTTTACATTTATTTCACCCACTATCTGGATCGAGGCGTAGTTGGAAACAATACTTACCACTGGCTATGTTACTAGTCGCTGTAACATCCTCGGACATTAGTCTACGTAATCTGTGTCGCCCTACGTCAACGTTGTCCACACTGACTTCTCGTTCGTAACACCTGCCAATAGTACCGTCGTCGCAAACGCGGATCGCTTTACCTCTTCGATTTCTCAAAGACATTTTGAGCTTTCCAAAGAAACTTCTTTTGTTCTTTTGATCATCATCTAATAATTCTTTGTCGCCACGTTCCGCAGTCATATCGAAACTGATACTTTTTGGTATAGCACCGCTAGATGCGTTGGGTTTTGGTGAGTCACAGTTTCCGTTAACTAATAATGTCACTGACAACGGTAACTCCGAACTCGCGTTCTTCGCTCGAGATTCAGAGCTAGAACTACAACTGGACATCAAATTGCTAGTACTCAATCCAACAGCTTCTGGACCAGTTTGACCAATAGCGTCGCCAACCGAACCAATGCAGTTTTCTAATTCCTAGAAAAATAATTAAACGATGCTTTGTAACTGCATCAATGAAACAAGAACAGGTGTAAACGAACCTCTGATTTTGCGTCGATGTTTCGCGACTGTTCTGTGCTCAACAAAACCGGTGGTGAGATATGATTTGCTAACAACAAAGCCGGTGCAACAGCTGCTACACCAATATTATTATGAGTCGAGGTCTGTTGTTCGATTTGACCCTTTCCATCGTCGATGTGAAGTTTGTCTATGAGATGAACAAATCCATCCTCGTGCAGCGATTTACTATAATCCATAGCGTTGCCGATACTGTTGGCGTTTTTGTCGACGTATTCTATCGCACTTCTTTGATAATCAGACCTGTTTTCCATCTGTCCAATTACATTCGAGGAGGATGTCGAGGGAGATGTTGTTGGGGAAGGAGAAACGGTCGCGGAAGATCGTGTGTCTTCTCTGTTAATTGACATCGATTGAAAACCCGTTGCCGTGCATTCGCTCGATGATGTGTTTTCTATAGACAAACGAATACGGAACGAATATTGAAATAGCAACAGTCGTGTTTCGAGATAAAATATACTTAAGATGAAACTATTCTTACGGGGAATTGCCTGAGTCAGTGTTTCTTCAGTAGCCTCTGCTTCGCTACGTGCTTCAATCTCGATTTCGGATCTCGCAGTATCATCGGACCTGAATGACACGTAAATGAAATTTATTATGACTTTCAGAGTTCGCCATCTAATCCTTCCTTTCTTTTCTCGATTTTTCACCGTTTTATTTAAAACATACCTCGCAACGCTAGCGGTATCATCTGTATCAACCTCGGTTAATCTCTCAGAATCGCTAGCTAATACGTCGGTACTCCATGCCTCGGATGCAGTTTCGCTTACGTCTAATCCCGCTTGCGGCATTGATTCCGACGTTGTTGATAAAACTGGAGTATTTTGTTCAGGAGGAGGAGGATACAGTATTTTTTCTTGCTGTTCGACCATCTCGCTATCCGAAGCTAGAACATCCGTTGACCATGTGTCTGACACCATCGAGACAGTTTCGTCTCCTGTAAACGTAAAAGTGGAGGAATTCGACTTTTTCCAGACATTTCATTTATCTTATTTCACTTTCGAAATACCTTCGATCAATTTTTTAATTTCAAACTTGCAAAACTTGTCGTCTATTTCTGATCGACTTTGTTTCGTTGGTATGTTCGATGGAGGTAAATCCAATTGCCGTGCTTCGCCTGTTGCTCGTCCTTCGTCTCCTTCGGTGATTTGAGACGATGGCGTGTCTCGACCTATATATGGAAACGTGAAAGTATCCGTATCATCTTCTGCGTCTTCTACTTTAGGAGTATTTACTACTTTATATATCACGTGTGCATTGCGGACCTGATATATTGGGCGTTCCGCGACCCGAGACACTGGCGGACACCATATCCGATAGATTATCGTTTTGATCTTCTGTTTCTAGTTCGAGGGAGGAAGCAACGCTATGATTTGAAGCAGCTTCTGATACGGCCTCCAAGTTGTCTGAGGTATTGCCGATGAAACCTTCGAATAAAACTAATAATATTGCACGTCAATATTTATTCCTTTTAGTATACTTACAGTATAGAAAAGATAAAGTTTAATAAAAATACCTTCATCGTGAGACAATGAAAACCGAGTCTTCTTTTCTTGAGTCTCTATGCGTTCAACCCCACAACTTTCCCGCCTATCGTGTACATTTGCTATGTCATCCGAAAGATTCAAAGTAACCGATCCATTTTCCATACTGGATCCAAGCTCCATGCACAGAACCTACAATATCGAAGAGGAAAACGATCAACAATAGTTATATACTTATACCTGAGAAATAGCTAATTCTTGTCGCATAAATATCGGAAAGAACATTAAGTACTTTTTGTTCGCTAAGAAGTCCCACAAATTCTCCGGTATTTGGTCCGAACGGAACAACAAGGACATCTTGAGGAGTTTTCTCAGACGATTCTTCCTCGGGGGTTGAGGTACCGTTTAATTCGTCTCCTCCATCGTTGGTCGCGTTGGACGAATACGATGACGACGATGATGATGCCGGCATTCGTACTACTCGTCCTTTTCCTACCACAGAAAGCAAACTTCAATACGTCTTCTTCTCTAGTATTTTCACATTTCCACCTCGATGTATTTCTTTTATCTTTAATGCATTGAAAGTAATTACCTTTGTAATTACCAGTGTAATTACCTTTTCCTAGAAGGCCTCCACGTCGGTTGCTCGTTTCGACGTTGACATTATTATTCAGTTTATTAGTGACTAATGAACCGGGAGGTAATTGAGAGAGCATATCAATTAATTGCTTTGCGTCGAATGTCGAGGATCGCGAAGAGTTTTCTGTTGTAGTTTCAGCAGCTATGGTTTGCAGAAATGTAATCAGCGTGTTCAATTCTGTTTCCGTGAATAAGGCGGCGGAACGAGAAAGGCCACGAAGTTTATTATTGTCGATAACATTAGGCTCGTCCTCGAGTTCTTCTGTTGCGCCATCCACCATTGCATCTATTATAGAAGAAACGGAGTCCTTCTCGAATTTCTTGTAAAGGTCAAACGTTTTACTATCAACAGGTTGATACTTCATTAAAGAGAGCATTTGTAGAATTTGACCAACTTGCATAAGATTAAATCTAGCGACATAGCTGATGGGAGCATCGGTAATACCGTACGGCTCTGGATTTACTATAGCAGGACATATGAAATACGTGAAAACCAAGTCAGTGCACATCGCGTGTACTTCTTTCGGATCGATATTCTCCTTTTTTTCTAAAAGTCCGGCCATCTGTCTGACCAACCAACAAATACTGCTTGGGAAACAATGCATATTTTCCCGTATACTGGCTATGAATCTTTGCGTTATACGATACAACGAATTGATCGTCCAAAGTCTGTAACGCTGCAACTTGGTCTCATACTCTGGTGTACCTTCCTTTCCAAATTTCTTTAATCTCTCAGATGGAGGAAATCTTACAGGTGCCTTGTCCGGGTCAATGTCAAGAAACATTTCATCCTCCATTAGCAACTGTATAATAGGATTATGTAAAGCAGCTGTCAAGAAGAACTTGGCAGAAAAAACACTCTCGTGAAAGATCGAGTAAAACCTAGAGAATGCGCATGTGCCATGTCTGAGTAACCTTCGAGGATCCGATGGATCAATTTGTAACAGCATCAGATGCCTCAACAATTTGAGGACTAAAATTTTGTCTTCTGGTAACAAACAACTACCATATAAACCTGCTGCCAATGATTGAACGATACTTTGCACGAATTCTGGTAATAATTTATCTCCCTCTACTAAACATGATGCAAGGAGTTTAGGAGATTTTCTAAGGGCACTTAAAAATGCTCCATAAGACAAACAAGCCTGGTAACGTAAGTACTTGTATGCATCGATGAAGCGCGAGTTTTCCAAACTATTTGCTTTGAGACAGCAAGATGCCGGTGTGCAGTCTGGTCTAGACATTATCAGTCGATTTAGATTGACTCTTTGCTGCGCGGTAATCCATGCTTGCTGAGCCAAATTTGATGATGCATATAATACCTGTGAAGAATACAGAATGTTAGTTTATTTGTTATATATCTTCTACCCTCTTATCTAATAAGCTATAACAATTGTGTACCTTCTCATTGAGTATTTGCAAATTCTGTTGCTCCGAACTAACAAATAAACGCTCTTGACGCAGATGACTGGCCAATTCGATCATATCCCATTGCAATGTTCCTAGAGATTCGATGCTATTTGCCGACGACATTACTGAGCATACCCAAAGGAACAACAAATATTATGAAACAATTTAAGTCCTTCTCTTTCAATTTTTCTAACACCTGATTATCTGCTACAAGTTCGTATGCTTCTGTAAGATATTATTCAAATACCATGACAATGGTGTACCATACAGGAATCAACAGAACTACTATAATTGTCCACCAATAAGACTTTTTCTTTACATCCCCTTACATAAGAAAATTTCTACAAAATGGTTAAAAGACAAACCAATGAATGTGAATGATGTAAAACATAAACGAAAAATTGTAATAATTTCTTCTGGTTAAAATTCTATATCTTCTCAAAGCGAAGAATATCACTCTCCAATCGATGAACGTATTCCAATAACCCGTAGTTAAGCGTTGCTCACAGAATCATGGTTCTTTATTGTTGTCTTTTTTATCTCGAAACAACACCCCCATCGACACACGATCATTTTCTGTTTCAGGTTAGAATTTTCTACGACAAATGGCTGTCCTTGTACTTTAAATCGAAACATAAATATCGATATAGTCATTCGATTATACAGGAATGTATCGAGTTTTAAAGTTGAAAATCGAAAATTTCGATCTTTCTAAACGGTGACAATTTGACCTACATATATTCAATAAATAATGAAAAACATGTATTATATTTTGTTAATGAAATGATACCATAAAAAGTCGAAGTAATTTTGCGAAATATGTTTACTTTTCAGATCAAATCAAACATCGTGTTTATGTAATTGATTGTACTGTAGAAAACTCGTTTATAAAAAGAAGATAACTTTTTCTGTACATATTTTGACTTCAAATATAATTGTAATAGAGAATCATTTGTAGTCTTATTTCTTCCTAGAACTGTTTGATAACATTTCAATTTCATATTTTTTATGGCGACGTCCTTATAACTCCCTCTTGCGTTAAGATTTCGTAAGCATGTATGATAATTTAAAATCGAGCTGCTCGTATACGTCACTATGCATGTGCATTCATTCCGTTCCGACACCGACACGTTTTACTCGTTTTACTCATATATGCTCATGTAATGACAAGCCAGGAAAGTTATTCCTAGTGAAGTTAAAAAAATGACAGATATTTTGTACGAAACAAGAAAATTTATCTCTGATTGTTGGGCAAATATATTTGCTGAAGTATGTGGCACAGTTGTTTATATAGATAATTGTGCAGCCGAATGTTTACATTGGTACACAGCTGGCAAAGGTTATTTGGCACTAAAAGATGCTGGAGCAATTGCAGTTCACGAACTCGGCATGTACCACTTTCGAGTGGGTATACACAATGAATTTAACTTATCAATGTTAATAGCATCGTAAATATTAATACGAGTACAGCTTTTATTGTTTGTAGTATGTCGAGGTTAAAGACACCAAGAAAGCTGTTATTGTGTCAACTGCTGATGATCCAGCGTTTTATCAACGAACAATCAAGATGATTCTAGCAAAAAATGTATTTGAAAGTTGCACAATATATTGTAGTGCTCCTTGTTCCACTACTGATTCTCCACAGATTATTCACCTTCCAACAGAAGAGAAACTGAATTATAACGAACTAAAAAGGGACATTAAAGCTTGGATGTCTTCAAAAAATCTGTCGCAAGTTTGTTATTTATCTATATTATTATTATTATTGTAACTACTATTACTATTATTTTTTTGAAAATAATTTAGTTTTAAATTAAACAAACTTATTTTTAGGAACCTTCTGTGAACATTGTGCACGTGCCAATGTTTATAGCCCTTTTAGACAAGAATTTGTTTGTTACACCTCCTTTTGGAGATCTAATGCCACCCTTAGACACAACTTTTACAAAAGATACATTTTCCAAATTAAATTTTTTAGCAAATTCTTTCTATAAATTCTTTAATAGCATAAATGCCAAATTAGATATTTATGCACTTGGGAAACTGAGCAATCTCCTTGCACAGAATTTAGCAAACTACATTGCTAGTACCGATCGTCGAAATGTGAGTAGTGAAATGGTAAGATAAGAAATATATGTATACAGGCACAATAAAGGAAGACATTTGCTTATTTTTATAGCATTCATCAGCAGCTCAAGATATTGGATTATCTCTTATTTTAATGGACAGGACATTAGACCTCTGTACACCAACTAGCAATAATATGGAATCATTTCTTACAAAAATATTACGAACATTCCCTAGATTACCGCAGCACAATAATGATGTATCAATTAACATGTCACCTATAGTTGGACCAGTGGAGGTAAATCTGTTTTCTATACAGACGTAATAATAAAATCAAACTAGTTTAATGTAATTAATAATCAATAACTTAAGGGAAGTTTACGAGCGTGCGAAGTACCAGGATGTTTGGCCAGCATAGATAAATCTACAATTCATCTTTTTATTTTGGAAAAAGAAAAAAAGTTGTTAACAGTGGCCAATGAGTCGTTAAACGATATAGTTTCTACGCAAGATAATCCAAAATTGAGGACACCGACGAGAATTTCGGGCCATCGTTTAGAGAAAGCTGTTAATAAACTTCGTACTACAAACAGTATCGATTCTATTATGGCTTATAAAGAGAGGTTGCAGGTAATTTTCTAGTCTTTCTTTTCCATTCTGCTATGTACATACATATTCGGGATCTTTCATTCGCGTTCAATTGCATTTTTTCTGGAATACAGAGTATCTTGGCGATAGTCGAAGCATCAACGTCTCAGAAGGCTGGTCAACTCGAATTACTTACTAGTTTAGAGAAACTAGTGTTGCAAAATCTCTCCGTGAGCCGCGAATCCTCGAGTATACTCGCGCAAGTAATCAGTGGTTCGATTCCAGTCACGTTCGTACAACGTATATACCATCGAGTAAAGATTAGTTAATTGTTTTAGCTGAGTGACGTTATACAAACACGAATTGACAGAGGACTTGACACTGAAAATCTATTAGCGTTGTTAATACACGTTTATGCCCTTGCGGGAACGCAAATCCGTTTTTCCACGCAGCAAGAACGCCAATTAGAAGAATCGATCGCGGATGCAATTTTCGAGGACTTAAAAATTTTCAAGGAAAACCCATCTGCTAATACAACATCAACCTACCAGCGAACTTTATTGCTGTTAGGTATGTGTTACACAGAACTCGCGACTTGTGTACCATAAATTGTTAGTAATTTTCGTGAGTTAATTTGTATATCAGGAGTGAATGACGTAGTCGCAGCTCGAGAAACTTCCTACAGGATAGCATCCCGTATTATCGGTATTCTTCAATTGGTTGCACAACAACGTTCGACTCTACAAGATTACAGGTAAATTTTCAAATAAGAAACTCGCAGTTCTAATTTTTTATTTTCTTCAACTCTTTGTAAAAGAAAAACTAGTAAATGAATGCTGGGAACTTGAATACTTTTAGATTTTGTATGATAAAACCAAACGCGCAAGAGGCGATTCGACGAGTTAGTATTTTGGAACAAATAACTAGGGACATACTTTGTGCGAGCGCAGGTCGAGAGCTGTACAATCTTTGTAAAAGATCGTCTCCGTTTCTTTTAGGTGGTTTCAAGTAAGCATTTTCAAAACGCTTAATGCAATTTGCCTAACTATAACATAATGTTTGAATAAAAATAAATTTTTCTCTTATTCCAGTTTTCTATTGAGAGGTAAAGAAGAAGCAAAGCTTCATCCTCATGATAATCCTTATATTTTAATATACGTTATCGGAGGAATCACAGCAGAAGAGGCAAAAGTAATTCAAGAAATGACATTGAGTCAAAATAATGACAAAATGCCATGTATAATGTTAGCAGGATCCAGGTTGTTAAATCCTTTGGATATAGTGGACAACATACTCTTTCAGTGATATATCCCTTAATAAAATTTGTAAATATATCAGAATTTATCCTTCTCCTTCTTCCACTTTCCATTTTATACCACTCAACAAAATAGAATAATGCATTTTTTTAATAGTTTGTTCTGTCTCCAGTGTACACATAAAGTTTGATGTGTCTTGCATTTTCTGTAAATGTATCCTATAATATTCAACAGTCTTTTTTAAGTCGTTTATCAAGAATTTCTTTCCTTTGCAATTGACATTACTTTCACGAGGTGTGGTATATACAGTTGCAATATCGAATCGAGTTGTATGTAGTCTGATAAGTTGTAACAGTTTCTTTACATAAGAATCAATTGTAATGCAACCACTTTCACGATCTTGCCAGTAATATGCCGTTATACTGTCGATAGCTAAAATTGCAATTTCGGCATTGTCTAGAAATATGTCGTCCAGTGTACGTAACGTTAGAAAAAATTGTTCGCTGTTATAACAATCGATGACATACAAATTACGCAAAGATTTTCGCACAATAGCTATTTTATCAAAGTTTGTATCGATCGTGCCAGAAATGGGCGACGCGGTATACGCAGCATCCACGATATCAGTCATTATATCGATTAATTTTGAAACTTGAAAGTGGTGATCCGTATTTATCAAAATGGCTGAAGCGTTGCAGCCTTTGATTCGAACGGATTGATAATATTTTGGTAAGATGCACTTTGCAAGCATTTGAGAGACCAGAAAAGTCTTTCCAGTTGAACGTTCTCCATTGATTTCTATAATGTCGTTACTTCCAGGACCTTCGAGAAATAAAGTATCATCGAGTCCGTGCAGGCTTGGTTTCGCATTCAATCTTGCGAGCAACTGCGCACCGGATTCTATATGCGATTGCATCGATTTTACTTTTCAACATAGCAAATATCACAATGATTTTAATATATAGAATTCAATTACAGCGCAGATATACTATCAGATACTATCATCGATGATTTACACAGATTTACACTTCCATCAGGGAGAAGAAACTTTGTAAATAAAACCATTCAATTTGCGACAGAAGCTCATTGGTCTGTGCTTTTGGCCAGGTGTGTATCTAAATACAACGAATAGTGGGTCGATCTGATATGAATTTGATATCTTTATACAGTTTCCTTTATTGACTCTTTTATTGCAGAACAGTAATTACTATATGTAAATAGTAATTCGTATAACTTCTATTGATTTATTTCAAATAGTGCATGGACCATGCAGGTCTATAACATTTTCTTCTTAAACATTAGCTCCACCACTTACAAAATGTCTTGTTTGGCGAAACTTTGTTACTATTCTTTAAAAAACATTAGCAAACCTCGTTTCTCTTTTGTACGTTATATTTTTATAGTAGTCCAGTAAGGCCTAATGGGTCTACAAGAAGCTCGGGTACATCGAGTATTTCGAGTTCGCCAAACCCGTACCGCAGCTGGGACCAATCACAGCTACAGTCCCTGAGGGTAACTTTTATCGAATCTATATTTATTTGAGGCACAACTCACCACTATTTTGATTTTACATGGATGTTATTTGCATTTTATATTATTGCACATAAGATTAACATTTGAAAATTGGAACACACCAATTCAATAAGTTTTAACTTTCGTTTTACTTGTTTGTGGAAGATGGCGCTGACTACAGTTGATTCTCGAATGTCACGACATAGTGGTTTTATTGTTTTTCGTTTATGCACGTATAAATACGTATGCATGTATAGCACTAAGTACCCAAGTAGGTACTTTACTGTAAATAGTTGAAAAGTTTTCACAGATCGGAAGACTATTTCGTCGATGGAAACATAGGTAAAAAGACGAAGGAATCGATAAAGTGGAACAAAGAAAAAATTAAAGTTTGAAAGTTTTACGAACGATCATTTTATGATTCGACGCTCGGTGGGTAGTCAACAAAACCGACTAAACGTTCGTCAATCACATGTGCGTTTGCGACTCGAAGAGAATGAAAACATACTCTAACTAAGGATTTTTGGATATGTTACGAGTTCAAGACCCAACACGATATATTCGTTTGAAATGAACGAATTGGCAAATTTGTTATTTTAACGTGGAATCATACATTCTACCGTAACCTTTATTTGTATGCACATATCTGTTGCTACTCCATAAATCGTTGATATATTGGTCGGAAATCATCCGAAAATGGTACCATTGGGACCATCACCAGGGCATCAAACGTCCGTTAATAATACATCAACTGCTCCAAGTGCCACTGGAACCAAAAGCAGCTCCACATTGGTGAGTACAATTGAGTACATTCGGGACTCTCTATTTCGTTATTTTCTTACTCTTTCTATATTTTATAATTACTGAAGTTATTGTATTCTTTAATTTTTTCCAGAAACCAAATTATACCCTAAAATATACTCTAGCAGGTCACACTAAAGCAGTTTCTTCTGTGAAATTTAGTCCCAACGGGGAGTGGCTTGCAAGTTCTTGTAAATATAAATATTTTCTATTTAAATGTTACTTTTTGCTTTTTAATAATCAAGTTAAATGGGTCTCATTATCAATTTTATTCTGATTTTAGCTGCTGATAAGTTAATCAAAATATGGGGATCCTATGATGGAAAATTTGAGAAAACCATATCTGGTCATAAATTAGGTATTTCAGATGTAGCATGGTCTAGTGACAGTAGGCTATTGGTATCTGCATCTGATGATAAAACATTGAAAATATGGGAATTAAGTTCTGTAAGTCTCCATTTATGGAAAAATATTATTTCTTGAATTATGCGACAAAATTCTATATAATTTTTCTCTTATTTTCAGGGGAAATGCTTAAAGACATTAAAGGGTCATAGTAATTATGTTTTCTGTTGTAACTTTAATCCACAGTCAAATCTTATAGTCTCTGGTTCTGTAAGTATTTTTGTAAAATCCTCCCTTTGTGTAAAAACTCCTCAAATATTGTACATGTAAACATACATTATGTGTTCACATAAAATATTGATGTAACATATATTGTTAGTTTGACGAAAGTGTTCGAATATGGGATGTGCGGACTGGAAAATGTCTCAAAACGTTACCCGCGCATTCAGATCCCGTAAGTGCGGTGCACTTTAACCGGGATGGATCATTGATCGTATCTAGTAGTTACGATGGATTGTGGTAAGCATACGTTTTGTACTTTCTTCGTGGACGTGTGGGTCTATATATAAATATATATACAGATATAAATATGTAATTATGCGATTATGTAGTCGAATTTGGGACACAGCATCGGGCCAGTGCTTAAAAACATTGATTGACGATGATAATCCTCCAGTATCTTTCGTAAAGTTTTCACCAAATGGAAAATACATTTTAGCAGCGACATTAGATAACACGTTAAAACTTTGGGACTATAGCAAAGGAAAATGCTTGAAAACGTATACCGGCCATAAAAATGAAAAGTACTGTATATTTGCAAACTTTTCTGTCACAGGAGGAAAGGTATATATGTTTATTGAGTTGTCGATTATTTAATTGTTGAACGTTTTCCGTATTCTATTCAATTTTATCTTACTGTTCGTAGTGGATCGTTTCGGGCTCGGAAGACAACATGGTGTATATCTGGAATTTGCAAACCAAAGAGATCGTTCAAAAATTGCAAGGACATACAGGTATGGCGAATAAACTCAGATTAATCGATCTTCTAATATTTAACGGTAACTAATATCCACTAATCACTGTTTGTTACTTGATTCGTAGATGTCGTCCTTTGCACAACATGTCATCCAACGGACAATATTATAGCTTCAGCCGCTCTTGAAAATGACAAAACTATTAAATTATGGAAAAGCGATACGTAGAACACGTCTCTATTGATTTTATTAAAACTTTTACAAGGTGCTTTTGCACTCGTTGACTACTCACACTCATCTTTTGTCTCCGAGGCTTTCTCAATTTTCGATCGTAGCAGTATTTGTAATTTCGACGGTCGATTCGTCTTCCCTACAATTGCGGAAAGTTGAATTTCAATTTCATATGCGTTGGATTCCAATGTGGTATCGAATATTGATCCAGAAAACGCAATAATCTACACATAAAAAAAAATGTGTGCGACTTAATCAATATAGATTTTATTTAGAATCCACTAAGCTGAGTAGACGAGTTAGAAGATAGCAATGTTTGAATTAAGGGTTAAGAATATAAAAGGACACGAATATAAAATGTCGTTGATAAAATTGTGTTTAGATAAACAATTGTCTGTCATAGTTTTGACATTTATTGTATAGTTGGTCACTTTATCCTGCAACTCCGCTACGTATAACACGCATGTAGCCTTTCCTGCATAGCTGAAAAATAAAACAGTGCGTAGAGATTACCGAACAGTTAACGTATATTGACTGAGACAGAAAAAGGAAACAAGCAAATCAAAACGGATGCTTGTAACACGTAAACAGTTATGTAAACAAATCGAGAATAAAATATATATTTTCGTACCTGAGATTATGTATCGTGCAGTTTGTACCTTTTTATTTACGATTAAAGAATGTTACGATTGTTATTGACACTTTAAGGATGGATAACTTATACAAATAATAAATTCGAACCTAATGTTATTTATTGGAATGTAATATACATCTGCTTAAAGTAGCGAAGTATATCATGGCTTATTTATTATGTCTATTTATAAAGTGTTAATCGGAGGTTGGACATCGCACAGCAACTTTAGGTCGAAGTAAAAACTGCAAATCGATATTTTGTATTTTATTAAAGCACATATTTCTTTAAACGTACAATTACAGAATCGAGTAATAATACGGTGCATGGTAAAGTGAATGAATTTCTTCCCTAACGAAAGCAAACGTTAACTCACAAATTACAAAGCGAGTATATTGATTATAGTTACTTTTATCTATATTAATCGACAACATAACCGATATGATTTATCAAATGAATTGCCTCACACTCTTCGAAAGAACTAAGGGTAGATGCGAGGGCACAACCTGTACGAAGCAAAGAGCAAGAAAAATAAAGAAACCAAATCAGAGTGTTTGAGAAAAACTGCTATCTTATATTTATGTAAAAGAGTTCTTTTTCCCTTTCAATAGGATTCGTATTCTTCGATATATTTTTTTTTTTTTAACCGAGACTTCGTATAATGTCATTGATATACGCAGAAGGATTCATTATTTCTTCCAACAAACCTGAAACAATAATTAAAATGGAATTAAAAAGAAATTTTGAAAACTATTTTTTTTCTTTACTTACCGACGACATCACAGAATTCTTCAAAAGAAGCACAAGGTACCAATTCGTCACGATAAGTAGCAAGCACGCGCTCCGAGGCTTTTAGCATCGCTTCGTCGTTGTGCCTAATGTATTCAGCTAAAACCGAGGGCCATTGATCGTCCGACAATACGTTAACTTTCTGTGACAGAAAGAAATGAACAAAAATTAAGTTCCTGAATCAGGGAACAAAACTATCATTGAACCAGAAAAGATGGGAAACGGAGGAAAGTACCTTGAAGAAATTAGCGTAGATACAGTCTACTAGTCCAAAAAAGATTAAGGCGCTTTTGTATATCGCGTAATCTTTGACGGTAACGTCGACGATGGTTTTCGTAGCAGCCGAAGGCGAAACGTATCGCTGGTGAGCAAGAACGATCATTCTGTTCAAGAAAGCGAGCTTGTACGATTTCCATCGAGCTGGCGTGAAAAGCAAAAGAGTAATAGTGCACTGATAAAATGGCCCTTCAGCGTCGTAGCAACTTTCGAGCCAGCTGGGACCGGGAGGTGTTTCCAAATATCCAGTTAACGCTTTATCTTCTCGTGCGGCCGATCTCGTGCTACAGAACGATAATGCAATAATGTATATAAATCATTTGTAGAGACTGAAATGATGAGATTGTAAACATAGATTAGGCTCTTCGCCTAGAATAAAGTCGTTAAATAAATAATTAAAAATACGAAATTTACGTAGAAGAGAATGGGAACACTTCGGATTCCAATTAGTTTTACTTACGTGTTAATTACGTAAAGAGCCATGTGAATCAAATAAGGAACCATGTGCATATTCGATTGCGGTCCTCCTCCTCCCGTATCTTCGTGAAAACTTTTCTCCTGAGCAAATCGCAATAATAATAATTTTAAGTCGTGAACGGTCGAAGCGTAAGATATATCTCGGTGGCTGGTACACTCTTGTAGATACGTATTATGTCTCGCCAAGCAGTTAGCAAAAGCAGATTCTGGAACTTGAGGACCCCACAATGGGAGAAGCCCGTTGCACTTGGTGTTCGCATTTTGTAGGGCTGCGCTTTCCCATTCATCCCTAGCTCGTGCCAACCTTACAGCTGACATATGACAATCAACATGGACGACGTTAAAATGTGTAACAGTCGTGTAGCCTACCGTTTTCCTCTGTTTTGTTTCAAATTCTTCCACGTTGCAGCGCTTGGTGAACGTGTAAATGCCTAAAACCTAGAAATGGGGATACATGTAAATTATTAAAATTGAATATAAAAAAGTGTAACCAATAAATGTACATTATTTTTAATAAATAGCAAATATCTTACCATGTTTGGCTTAAATTTGTATCCCTCCCGACAGATAACACAGACTAGTCCTGTTTCGTCGCCTAAATCTTCCATTTGCTGTAGAATGGTTCCACTGGCCATCACCTGACCCTTGTCGTTCGTCTGCATACCTAACGCACCCAACTGTCTCTCCCTCATCGCCATTGCCAAGCGTTTCTTCTCGCTGCGGGTGTGCTGTCGAGCCTCTTCGATCAACTCGGCCACCCTTTTGTTTGTGCATAACGCTTCCAACAAGTTCTCTGCCAACGAGCCAACGTGCTCGTCCGATGATACTTGTTCCAATCTGTGTATTATACTAATGGTAACTTGCGATACTGTCAGCTGAGTTGGTTCGTGATCCGTCGCTAGGCCAGTAAGGAATCTCAGTATATACTTGAGTGCTGGTTTAGATATGAAGTCCTTCAATTCGTCGCTGTCCGTTCGCAACAACGTGGGCTTAACACAGGGCGCGTGCACAGTTATGTATTCAAAAGCGTCTTTAACAATTCCCATACTTATGATGTAACCTTTGAGTGTATTGCCAATGGCGTTGCGCTCGATGGCCTGAGTAAGAATACAGAATAGTTCGAGCTTCTGCTCATCTTCTGTCGTGTGCTCGAAGTCGAATTTATAAAAATTTAACACTGGCTTAAAGTAATCGCAAAGGAGAGCCATTTTCTCTTTATTGCCGTAAGTAAGTGCAGCCAGAACGCGGGCGAGATGCGCCAATACGTTGCTGCTTTGTCTAACCGCTGTGGATTGAGTGCAAGAAAGTAGCGCCTTCACGTGTTCTGGTCCACCCAGGGTACGAGAGAAAGCTTCGAAACTGGACAGCGGCTGAGAGGCTGCATGGGTCAAAATCGTTTCTATAATATCCAACAGTTGCTCCGTAATTTGAGCTTGGGAATTTTCGGATTCGGTGACGAGACACCGCTGCAGTACATCGAGGAAAACTGTTACTGCTCCCAACTCGGGCTTGCTCAGGACCTCTTGATTCTTCTTCACTTTAACCGATAGTCTGAACAGTTTGAGAAGGACTTGTAGGAGCGGTCGAGCTCTATTTATGTCTTGTATGGCGGCTAGTCTGTTTAACATTACTCGAAGACCGCCACAATCGGCCAAAACGTTCGCCATTTTATATACTTCTTCGTTGTTCACTTCTTGCTCGGTGCTTGCGTTCAAGCTTTCAACGAATTCCTCGGTAGCATCTCCTAGCAGTCCCCTTACTCGGTATACTACGCGCATCGCGTCGCACTCTCCGCCTTCTAGTACCCAGATTTTCTTGTACACTTCCTTCACCGGTAGGTCGAGGCTGATGATTTTGTTGTTGACTAACAGTTCCATACCATTGTCGTCTTCCAATAAAGTGACTAGTTCGCAATCTTGGCAAATTTTATTCTTAACATCTCTCATGAGAGGACCTAGACCAGGTTCCAAGCTGCTGTATGGATTTCCCAGCATTCTGCCTTGAAGAAAGTCTTCTTGCTGCGAATCCTTTTCGAGCGTCAAGAAGAATTCCCCGACATCGTTCTCCTCTGGGTAGATGATCGAGCAGAGTCTTTCGAAGATGAAGACTGGCGTGCGTACGTCTTCGAGACTGTATTTTTGTACAGTTTCGACGCAGATTGCCATGAACGCTTTGGTCTCCTCCTCGGTGCCGGTGGTCATCTCTTCGAGAAGCTCCAACAGTTTCTCCTGGGTGTCATCGATGAGTCTCGTTCGTTGGACGACCAATCTTCTCAAAGAAAGATAACCGTTAAGAACTGCCCCTACCAGTCGACCTTTATACTGCTGTTTAATGTTTTCTTGTTCGAGGAACGTTGCCATCAGCTCTGTCAGCATTTTCAACGAGCAACCTTGGGCCAAATCGCTGGTCAAAGTTGTTTCCTCCAATCGATGGAGCTCCTCGATCTCTCTAGTCAAGAGATCCGCGAGTAAGCTCATAACACCGCGTACCGCCAAGTATTGCTTCCAACGTGGTTTTCTGATCAAGCTTTGATACAATGTGAGGAACTCGGTGCTACTCTCACCAGCCGCCCGCAACTCTTCCAAATAGCATGTGAGCAGCACCAGTACTTCCTTTTTCCGTTCCTTTCCCTGACAGAGACTCTCTATCATGTTACAGGCAACCTGTCGCGCGAGTCGTGAGCTCGGATTGAACAGAACCTCCTTTAACCAAGCACCGTCAGCCAATTTCAACGGTTGAATATCTTGCTGTCTGGCGCATCGATTTCGCCACCTGTGCCCGTATTTCTCCATTAAATAAAACACACGGATTTCCTCCTTTTTCAATGGTTTGCCCCCAGAAGGTGGTTCGATTCTTTTGCTCGGCATACGACGAATCCATTCCGAATACGAATGCTTCAGGTCACCGTTTAGCCACTTATTCACGTCTATAGTTATACTGCCTTCAGGTGGCTGCACGGTTGCCAGCGTCTCGATGCCCTTGTCCTTGTTCTTCTTCGAGATTGGTTGGTCTGGTTTTACGAGTCCTTGCAGTATTTTCAGACACGGCAAAATGATGTTCTCCATTACGACAGGACTTTTGGACTCCTTGCAAGCCATCAGGAACAATTTCATGACGCATCGCAGCTTTTGCTCCCAGCAGGAATCTTCCTTTTGGACGAGTGCGGCTAATAGAGCCATTTCGTGGCGCACCGCTAGAGATAGATCCGAAGTAGGCACACGACCGTGAAGAGTTAAAGTGATTCGTCCGGTTAACAGAGAGCAGAGTTCTTTGGTTGATTGTGGATTGTCTTTGGTAACGAGGCAGAGCAGCTGTCTGACTTCCTCTTGCATCTGCACGGTACCCTTGCGTAAATTGTGTTCGACTAATTCTTGGATTAATCCTTGTTTGCACAGAACCTCTTTGGCAACTTGATTGGTAGCTAGGGAGCGCAGCAGGGTCAAACAGTGTTCCGTGGCCGCCGTCGCACATCCGTAACAACGACCTACTATTTGCGGAGTTGCTGCAGTTACGATGTCGACGGGTTGTGCTGACTCTTGGGACGACTCATCCGTGGCAACGGTAGATGCGGATGTGTCGATCGATGTGGAACTAGCGACGACGGTTTGTCCACGTTGCTGACGATCGTACGCCACGAGTTCTCGCCGGCAGGCCAAAACTCTCTGTATAATTTTACTTAACTCTTCGAAGGACGTTTTACATTCACCGCAGTATCTTTGGGCGAGCAGCTGTATGGCTCTGTTGACTTGAGTGCTTCCACTGGATACTTGAATGGCGGCGGTGGCGGTGCCGTCCTCCAAAGTGCGATCCAATCGATGTTCTGATATTTTCACCAGCAACATTTCTAAAGTTGGCTTATTCGAGATGAGAGTTTTGTACACTCTGTCAGCCTTCTCGAGCAACGCGTTGATTGTAACAACTGTTTTTTTCCGATCGTCGTCGCTTTCGATGGGATCGACGGCACAACAGGGCCTTCCGGTGAGCGTGTAGTCGAACTTCGCATATTTACAAAAACCACAAGCGTGACAGAGGAACGGATCCTTCTCATCGTAATTGATCGCTCGACATTTGTGACACTGAAATACGTTCTCTCCGCAATTGGCGCAAACGCCAGGATTTGCCGGAACGTTTGCAGAACATCGTGGACACTGGAGTGTCTCGGATGACGCTTGAATGTTTTCATAGAAATCCGCGTATTCGATCATCAAATTGCAAGCAACGATTGGCAAAGGAAACTCCATCTTGATTTCCGTTTGTCCTTGAGCCAGCGTGATCTTTTTCGCTTTGTGCCACATAGCGGGTTTATTTTTCAATTCGACCACCGCCTGAACAGAACGATTATTATAATATACATTAATTGTACGAACCATTTTCGTCTTTTTCAGATCACCTATACGGAGCGTGATGCGACCGATTGTATGACTTCCGACTAATTTTACAATTTGCGTGGTTGTTGTGAATTTGGAATCTACTTTGATCGAGGATAGCTTGATCGTTGACATTGGAACTTCGGGATTATTGCAAACTAGGCAGGGCTCGCTCTCCAAATAATAGCCGTCCAATTCGACAAATTGCGCGAGATTTGCATACAGGTTGGCGTTTGGATGACGCGCGAGCAACTGATTTTGAGCGCGTAACACAGCGACCGCTTGTTCCATGTAAGAGTGCATCTTTTTGCTCGCGTGAGGCGTCTTCAACGAAAAGTAGCCGAGTAAGTCCACGAACTGTGCAGCTTTCCGACCGTAAGCGGGTAACAGGGGCCACAACCGCCACATCAAGTCCAATAATATCTCTTGATCAGCCGGGCCGCAATTCTTGTAAATAGCCAGTATCAGAGAGTGCGCTTGCCAACGAACATTGGTATTATTGGTTTCGAGTAGGAAAGCTTGAATAAATTTCGTCAATAAACTTGGTGACACTTGCTTCTGAATTTGTTCGACCAAAGCCAAGCATTGAGCTTCCTCGAATTTAGCTTCCGTATCCGAGTCCTCAGATTTCTCGCGTTCTCGTCTCTCTTTTGTTGCTCCTATAGTTGCAGATTTTGAATCCTTAATCTTGGTATCTTTTGATTTATTGTTAGAGCAAATAGCACACTGTAGGAGTTGTAACACAGTAGGACTAACGCCTTCGTCCAAAAGAGTCGATATAGTGAAAAGATAAGACAACACTGTATTCTGTTTCAAGCAAAATCGTTGCCAATTTCCTGTACGACTAGTAGCAATTTCGACGCAGCATTTCAAATGTTCGATCAATTCTACCAACGAATCGTATGGTAAGTTGATGGAATGTGGACGCGTTTGATGAGGCTCGAATCCACCAGTGGCGCAACATTGTTGTACAGACTGAGCGTGCGAGATCAAAGCGTGTAAATCGCGCAGCTGCCTGTACTTTTCTTTATTGCCACAGATGAAGAGAAGCAACTTGCGCACGTTTCGTCTAACAAATGGCGTCTGATAAGACATCATGTATTCGCAGAGATTGAAATACCATGGTTGTTCGAAAGCTGGTTGAGCTGCTGCGTTTTCAGAGTATTTGTGTACTTGGTAGGGTAACCGCAATACTATTTCCGTCAATAATTGCGGATATGGTTCAAATACATCGCCAGCATGGCCTTTAACGTACTGTCGCAAAAAGAATGGTGACATGTCTGGTGGAGAAGTTGAGAAATGTTCCTTAAGCAGCTGACCACCAAGGATATTCCCCGATTCTTCGGTAGATGTTCTGTGAGAAAAAGAGGAAAACATAGTTGGTACAATACTTTTTCCGTTACGCGGGCGCATAAACATAGAGAACTTACGTTTTCCAATACTCCAACAACGCTTTCAATAAGGTCAAACAATAATCGATTATTCCCGCTTTACCCAGTATCGCGGCTACTGTTTGAGAAACGAAATTCGAGTTTTCCGTTTGCGTCTTAGCAGTGTGTTTTAAGCGAGACATTAACACACCTGAAAAATGTAAGGAATGGTCAAAATGGTTGTCGAGAAAAAATGGCAAACATATAAATTATCTAAATTTGATACTCACTTAGTAATCGCATGATAACTAAATGGACCTCTCTTTTGTTGGTACGTTGGCATATGTTAGTCGTATCCGGTTTATCTATTTCTAATTCTTTCACCAATATTTGAAGCAATTGTTCGACGCAAGCTCTATCTTTTTCTTCTTGCCCGTCCAAGTCTGATGTTAACATTAATACAACCTGGAATAAAACATTTAACGTTAAGGAAAATGGAAAGATAAAAAGAAAATTTCGCAAAAGAACAGAAAAATAGCAAACCTGTAAAAGTGGAATGGCCAAAACACCCGGTACGTTCATTAGGTTTGGCACGAACTGCATGAATTTGTCGAGCAGCAGCAGTCGCACGGTATGTAGTTTTGCGGTGATCTCGCAGCTAGTTGTATCGTTTTCTTGCTCGGTGGCGCGTTCCTGTTCGGCATTTTCTTCTTGTTCGGCGACCTATGACACGAAAATGATCAAGATAAATTGTGCATAAATTTGTACGATTGTTAGTCTTCACATAGTATAGAATTTTTGACAACGAGATATTCCCGAAGTCTTTTTCACGCATAGTGTGAATGACTAAGGATCACCCTAGTGTGCGTACTGGTGCAATGTACTGAGAGTCTACCATCAAGAAAATTAGCAAGAGGTAAACAAATTACGACGTAGCAAGAATAACGGTGGACGACGATGCCGATGCCGATGACGATGACGATGACGACGGCAACACTTACGGTTAAAGTCGCGTCGTGACCCACGGAATTAGACTCGGTACGTGGCACTTGACTGACTCCAATTCCTCCGCTCGGAGGTATAGAATCGGGAACGTTGTCTCCGTACGCGGAGCTCCTTCCCGATACATTATGTTCCCCCGTCATGCTGTCTACGGCACTTCCTCCGCTCTCGCTTCCACTGCTCTCGCTACCCTTGCTACCACCACTACCACCCTAACATAAAATGTTCCCCAAAACGTTACTACGACCTGATACGATTTTTCATGGTCTCTCCCTTCCCCCTCTCTCGCTGTTTTTCTCTCGTTCCGAATAAATAGCAACAAGAGCAGAGAGTAGTGAAAGTAAACGACAAACAGCCTCGAGTGCGAGTTGGGAAAGCCTAGAGTATTGTAACTCACTTGTTCCGCTGGGGAGGTTCGCAACGTGCTTCCGTCAGTAGCAGCAGTCGATCCCTCGTCGTCTGACCCACCGGCGGAAGCAGTTGTGTCCGAATAGTGTCCTCCACCTTCTTGACCCTACGATGTCCATGCGGAAACAGACAAGTTGCACTAATTTTGTACAAAACAAACACATTGAAAACTTGCCATGCTTACCTGACTGGTACCTTGGACTTGAACTAATCCCTGTGCAGCCAATGCTTGTAGACTCTGTAACGCCGGACCAGTCAAATTCTGAAGGCTCTCCAGCCCTTGTAAACCCAGCCTCGAAACCTCCAACCTCGATAAACTTTGTTGAAATCCTTGTAACGCTTGCAAATCGGCGCCACCTCCTCCTTCGTGATCTTGCAAACTTAACGCTATTGCTATTTCTATCATCGTCTCATCGTCGGTGTCTGGGGCTACGTCCAGTATCTGTGGGAAACCTCCAGCACCGATTAAAGTTTCCAACGAGTTTACCGCTCCTCTCGTCGATGGTCCACTGTTGCTATCGGTAATGGAGCTAGAACCACCGGTAAGATTGCTGCTAGTCGTAGCATTGGACGACGTCGCTGCACCTATCATGGAACCACTGCTGGAACCTTGATTACTATTCGATCCGAGCATCACGGCCAGTGGATCAATCACTGATCTGATCTGTTCAACTTCAGCCAATCGTTGTTCCGCTTCACGGTCTATCGTTGATGTGCTCGACGTTGCCGCATTTGAAATTTCTCGATGCGTTTGCTCGGACGATGCTAGCTTCTCTTCCGACTCTATCACTGCTCCTACACGTTACAATGCAATTAATCATCTAGAAGAACTGCAACGAGTAGATTGCTGCAATTAATTCTATTACCTGGAGTGCTACAGTTAGGGGGACTTGGTATATAAACTCTTCTCCTCTTGTACCTCGGTCTGAGTACACGGATGATAGCTTGTTTAGCGCTAAAACTAATTGTAGTGTCGGATGAAAGCAGCAACTGTAGGTACAGCTTCGCAGCTAAAGGAACGTTTTTCTCAACGTCGCAGGTTGCGAAAGCGTGAATAATTTCAACGATCGCGTGAATCGTTCCTTCGGCGTGGGTTAGTCCTGGAACCACTACCGGTGCAAGGGCCATGTTTTTCGGGTAAGCCATATGCAGGGACCATAATATTTCCATAAGCTGTACAACCAGATGCTGCTGATGACTTTCGTCAACGTTTTTATGAGTTTGATTAGCAGCGTTTTGTCGATCTTCTTCCAAAATCGGTACTAAATATCAAATACAATATGTAAGTAACATATAAGGCTATGTTCATTATAGAATATGCGGAAATCATTCGTTTATAAATCAGTCTATTCTTACTGTCGGTTTCATCTATTGGTTTGTTTGTGTACTGCTCCGTAAAGTTGGCAAGATTTTGCGGACGTGAAACGGAAATACTCCGAACAATGAGTACCAGTCTATAAAAATTCTCCGCGTCTATATCTCGCGGATCACTGATCTCTCTCATAGATTTTAAGGACTCAACCACGTGTGACAATAGTACGTGATCCTAAAGATTTATTTTATTATTATTATTTTTTTTAACTAGAACATTACTTGATTCTTTCATACAAAAATGATAGTTCTGGTTTACCTTGTGGAGATGATACGCCTGTTTGGATTGATGTAGAGATGCTAGAAGCGCCGTCGTGTGCATCTGCACCGATGACGGAGTCGGCAGTATCAGTAATCGTGACGCTACGTCGATAGCCGTAGTTTTCAACGGCAATTTATTCTCATCGTTCGATGATACGTTGAACGATAATTCTAGAACTTCTAGGATACCTGCGATCATTCTACAATAGGAAATGATACATAATATAGCATGGATATCGTTCGGGGATAGTAAATTATTCGATGTTTCCTATCGTTCCGAGTTATGAAAACTTAATCGTATTCAAGTTCTCCTTACCTTTCGATATTAAGGGAATTGTCCTTCGTGGAGCTAAAGCATTACGATAACGATAAAAGATTTTCGTTTTACACGATAAACGAATTTACTACAATTCAAGACAGAATTTGAATACGTTTTAATCATTATTATTCGCATACCTGTCGACGGAGGACAGCGGAGCAGGTGCCGTGAGAGCACTGTCCGTACCGCTGTTTATCGTCGCCACTGGTGCAGATGTCGACTGACCAGTCGCTGTGGTATCTTCTATTTCTTCAGGCCAACCAAAAGCATCTTTCGTTTTACCATATCTGAACGCCCAAAACACACGAACTTTATGTATGCCAATCATAAAAAGATACTAATACAGAATAGTCTCTTGGGACGGTTCGCTAAATTTAAAAATTCATATTTCATGTCATACATACATCTTAATGGAATCCACCATAACAATACCCTCATGATCTTGAGAGGGTCCAAAAGTGATAGTTAACTTCTTGTCAGCTTGCAGACTCTCTTCTCGAGTAAAGGGAACATCGAACCAGCGACTTTTGTTCAAAACCGTCGTATAAACAGTTCTACCAAATACCTGAGATATCGCAAAAGAAACCAAACAACAATATAATTTTATGTACAGAAATAAACTAGAAAATTTAATAATATAGCTTAATGTAATTACCTTGAGGTTAACCGGGGCTCTTTTAACATCTTGACTTCCAAGCAATACTCTAATTCCTGTCATAACCAGAACAGGGTCATTGTTGGTGACTTCGACATTGAATCCCATTGCTTTTATGGAAACAACGTACATTCCAGGAGTGTTGAGCCTGTGTTTGATTTGCGCAACGTTGTAAATTTGTAGCAAATCGTTGCCACCAAATTCAACGTCATTCATCACTTGACAATGCTCGAAGAAGTCAATGGGGAAAACAACGGAACCGGAGGGTTTTCCTGTTTTCATTGTTTTTTTCTTTCGCGTTGGTTTAACTGCGGTCATCGTGCCTATCGGTTGTACGGAAGGCGACATCCAGTAACCAGTTTGTTCCATTCCCGCCATATAAATTCTCAGACTTCCGTCCTCGCACAATAATATCAGGGTAGTCCTGTGTTCGGCGTTCGAGCTCGGGTGTCTTATCGCGACCATATCCATTATTTTAGCCTTGGCGGGGATAACTTTGATCTCCTGAATCATTATCGTGTCAGGTTTAATCATCAATATCACAGGGTTGTTGCTCGTCTGTAAAACTGAACATATTAGTCCAGGATGATTCGGTATCTCGCTCCACTGGCACAGCGGTTGAGGTTGATTGTTGTTCGATTTGTTTCCGTTGGAACTTTTGTTGCCACCGAGGTTGATTTGAAATACAATCGTCACGTCGGTGTTCATGTGTTTCAATGGCGCAATGAAACTTTTACCGCACGCGTAACTGAAGAACAGTAACTGCAAAGCGTGGGAGTAATAAATCGACACACCGCCACCGCCGACCTGTCCATTATCTTTTATCTCCGGATGATACACATCGAGAGTATTGGTCACGTAGAAAGGTCCGTGCTTAGCCGAACTTTCCTCGTCCATCGCTTGACCGTAAATGTAGCCAGCCGAAGACATAATCAGTAGGTAGAAGATTCCATCTTCCGCGCACATGAACGTACAGTCTCTTATTTTTCCAGTTGGCACGAGGAAATAATACTGAGGGCAAAGCGCGTCTTTCCCAAGATCGTAGATTTTCACGAAGTCCGCAGTGACCAGTGCTAAACGAGTTTGAGATCCAGGTAGCCAAATCGCTTTTATGATGAAATTTCCAGTTTCCAGCTGAGGGTGCAACACCAAGTGATCGGACACTGTTCCCGAGGTATTGAAAGTTAATACGTGACAATCTTTGAAACCACAGACAGCCAGAAAGTCTTCGTTCCATTGATTACCAGTTACCGATAGCACGGTGAATGGTACGGGCGCAGAAGCAAGTCTCGTTAAGGTTAACTTTCTTTTAGATGAATCGGCTTGTTTCAGTAGGGCGCTCAATTGCAATACCGTTATTTTTCCTTTCTCATGTGAGACAGCTGCAATCAGAAAAAACGCATCAACGTTACCAAATAAATGTATCTGTATTATAGAAACAAAAAATGATCAACGCTGGAAGGAATTATTAGTTGTATCAAGTCACTCCCTCTCACCTTGGAATTGATATTTCTTTTTTATTATAATTACAAATTGCAACTACTCACCTAAATGTTGTCTTTTACCATGCGGTGACGATAGGCAGCACATTGCAACACGACGTATCATATGTGCGGATAATAACTGCCTGATAGTCTGCCCTTGGTCTCCTGAATAATTCATTCGAACATTTTCAAACGCACCCTCTTGCGATCCTAACGTAGGAAGCTGGAATACATCGAATATATAGAAAAAATATAGAAAAATATATAGAAAAAAAAATAGCGACGTTTATTATATACGAACCATCAATTGTCCAACAGTACAACCATCGGTGTACTCAAATTTCTTATCAACCGTGTGTAGACGTTTAAGTGCAGCTTGTGCACGCGCGTGGCATCCGACAGCTGAATTCTTTCGACAGGACGCATCCACTGCAGGTACTAGCGCACGCGTTAGATCCACCAACGACGACACCAGCCCACTTTTCCAAAGGTAACTGTGTATCCAGTCTTTTGATGATTCTACCAAATATACAATTAAAATGGTAATAAACGTACTATCAAGTTGGACAGTGATTATTTGTATAAGAATCAATGATCGTTTACCTAGCTGTTTGGCTAACTGCGTATGCCTTTGTTTCTCGCGACCTTGTCTCTCTTGTTTGTCGTAGAAGTATAGAGGACTCGATGCTCGCCGACGTAAACTGCTCGCAAGAAGTAGATCTCGATTCTCAAGAGAAGTTCCATGGGAATTGTTATAGCTTGAACCGACAACACCGCCTGAGCCACCAGCCGACGTAGAAGAGCTTCCAGCCCCAATACCGCTGATGTTATTCTGATGTTCCGAGGTTTGAGGGCTGCGTTTGGTCAAGGCTTGGCAAGATCCATCTTCCTTCGCACCGCAGTCGCAAAAGAAGTTTCCATATTTTGCATAGGTGACGTCATGTTCACGATGACAAACACGAGCGCACACCGTGCAGACACCGACCCCGTCTACCATATGGCAGGTATGACAGTGATACCAATGTTGATTCATGAACTCCTTTTGAGTGACGAGGAAGGTGCAAAGTTTGTTGCAAAGATTGTCCTCGTCGGAATCCTCAGCGGCGCTATCTTCGTCTTCGTGTGGAATCTCGTCGACCCAGTCGCTGTCATTCACGTCGTTAATCGGCGTAGCACCTTCCCAAGGAGGACTGGTCGCGCGATCTTGAGAATGAATGGATCGAGGACAAACCGCGCTAACCACGTCGGCTACGTAGTTTAGTACGCAGCAGCCGGCTTCGACGAACGCTAACGGTTTATCCAAATCTTGTAGATCTTTGTTTGTCAGTTGTTCCTTGCTACATAGAAACAAATCGAGGTCTAGATTTCATTCGTAACAGTGAAGGGATAAATATAGTACGTTACCATAGCTCGATCCATTCGATCGCGGCTTTAAACAGTAAGGAGTGTCCTTTCTCAGAACCAGCGTCAGCCAACGTAGACATAACGTTCATCAATTCAGGGAAGCCGTTACCCTCGATCGCAGGGGATAGCATGTGATAAGCCAATGGTATGAGAGCTTGTAGAATCGTAACTGGCACGCCTACGTCTACACCGCTGTACAGTATTTATGAAAAATAAATAAAATGTATGAAAAGGAATATATCTCGTAAAGTATATACAGAGGAATTAAGAAAACCTTACCTCTTTTTTTTAACTATATAATTCGTAAGTGCTCGCAAAAATCGACTATTTTCGTGCATCGAGTGTTGCTGTTGAAGTTGCTGTTGTTGCTGTTGCTGCTGCTGCTGTTGTTGATCATCCGTGATACTTGCAGATTGGTTATTACTTACGGAACCGTCTGACAACATAATTGCCCATTGAACTTGTTCATTGTTCGGCGCGTTATTGATCTCATCCAATTTCTGCGTGTCTTCCGTCGTACCAGCAACGGCAACCAACCTATAATTATACATTCATCTTGTTACTCGTATCCTTAGAGAAATATACACGAGACATGTATACTTACGCGTTCGCGGCCACTATAGTAGGTGTTTGTACGTTTGTCGATGATGCGCTGGGAGATATACTCGTAGCTCCCAGAATGACCTGTTTCAACCAGGTTTGCAACGTTTTCGTTTTCACGTGAGCCAGGTTCGTTACAGATGCACAGAGACGTTCCAACGACTCGTCATTTCCTTTCTCGGCTGCGTACAAAAAGTACCATGTCATTTATTCCTTTCTGTCTCGAATTTTGAAGGAATGTTGTAAATGTATTTTACCTATTTCGAATAGCATGTTGAAAAAGCGTAAAACGTGAGTGGCGAATTGACGAGACGTTTGGGGAGACGTTCCGCACAATAAAACGGAGACGAGAGATCTGTCGGCGTTTAGCGCGAAAAATAATTCCAAGGCTTTGCAACCAAGTGGCTTTTCCAGTAGTTGTTCCCAATATTTGATACATCGTTTTAAGATTTTCTCGTCCACAGTAATACTGAAATATATATCGATACGGGAATCAGGTTGCGTTAGACGGTCTTGTATTGTTATACTGAATCATTAATAAATATTTAATTTTTGTTTATCTCTGCCAACAAATACTCACTTTACGGGATCTTGGGCATCGTTCGTATACTCTATGATCAAATTATACGTGTGACGTAAGATGTAGAGATGTTCCCGCAGTTGTCGCATTTCGTTGTCGTTATCTCCCAGGAGTATTGTCAAGGTTTTGCTCGCCATATCTCGGAGATAGTCCGTACGAGCATCCATGGATAAAGCGACGAGAATATCTAGCGCTCGCGAACGCTCATCCGAATTTTCCGGTGCTGTAGCTGGACTGTCAAACCTACTTTACACTTACTTCATAGACAACGAGGGTAGGACAGAACGAAAAGCAGAAACGAGATGGTAACTTACGTAACATACTCTGCCATGAAGGCGACTAAACTGTGCAGTAAATTCTTCAAAGATGGATTGATAGAGAAAGTTGGATACTCCGACAGCGAACTTACGTGATGGTTCACTGTTGCCAAAATGTAACTTTCCGCTGGTATGATGTCGTTCGCATAGGTGTTCTGAGATTATGGTAAGGGATTTAAACAAATGTTAACAAGTAGTAAAATAATTTATTCTAATATTGTAATTATAACATTTTAATGAAAACCAAAGTTTGAGTCATTGTCCCGAACTAATCCCTAGTGATCGTTGTAGCTAAACTCGACTCCATTAATATTGCACAAGTAAGATAGATTGATTTTGCACTTACCCAAGGAATTGGAGCAACATCGATAGATTTCCATTTGTCAAGGACCGATTTTAATGAGTTTGGTAAGAAAGTACTCAGAGACGCTTCGGTCGCCCAATTCGCGCCCGCAATGGCGACAATGTCCTCGAGTATCGAGTAATCTCGCGGACCGTATTTAACATCTTGATCCATGGATTCAAGCATTTCGTGAAGTATACTCGATCGACATGAGGCGAAGATGTATTCGGTCAAGGAGAGAACACGGGGAGGAATACCGATTATCATTTTGGGTGAATTCGTGTTTCCAGATTCCGAATTTTGCGGGTTCCTAAGAATATTTACGTTTCTTTAGTTCATTGTGCGTCAGGGATAGTCGAAAAAGATTAGAGACAATAAGAGATCGATTCAATTTACTTTGAATTTTCAATATTCTCGTTCTGATTTTTCGATATACTTTCATCGAAAAGAACTTGCAACTTTCCAACAACCGCAGCTAGAATACACAAGGAGCTAAGCTTCGGTAAAGCACTTTTTGGCATTACTTTGTCGTTAAAATTTGTCTCCGGCATCAAAGCAGTGATACAATTTTTGGCAACTGTAACGTCGTACTTGATGGAATTGACGGTAGACGACACAGTTTTCAAAAGATTTTCCGCATACTGTGTATACATTCCTTGTCTGACTAAACAATCCTGGAGAAGAATGGAACGTACATTTTGTGCATACGAGAAATTGAACGTCTAAAAATATCTGTCGGTATTACGATAGGAATTGACGCGTTACCTTCATCCAGCTGGTGAAAGTCTTGTACGCCGCTCTAGGCCCCCAAATTAGGGAATGAAGTAGCATCGGCCCGGCAGGAATTTCCTCACCGAGAGCCAATTTATCCATGTACGGGGTAGAAGGTGGCAACATTAGTAATAATCTGTTTCATGGCGGATAAAATAGATCTTGTAAACAAGTTCAAATTATTTCAACTATATTCTTCGAAACTGTATATATAAAACAATAAGATACATACCGCCAACATATGGAAAAGCAGTACCGAATCGCGCACAGACCAGTAAACGTGGGCGTTTTGTCTTTGCCATCGGTCCCCACTTTCTTCTGCATATCCGTTTGATTCAGAACGTTCAAAATATCTATTAATGCGTCGACCAAAAGCGGATATTTCATCTTATCCGGAGCACCCAGAATGAAATTGCAAGCCTGTAAAGTATGCGATTCCGCTGATTAAATCCGCAAGAAACATTCTAGAATCGAGACGAATTCATTTTTAGCGAATTCAAACGGGATACCAACCAACCCATCCAACTTCCGAGTATCTTGATTATTGAAATCCGTAGTAGAGAGGTTGTAGAATCGAGGCTTCATTAAAAATTCATCTTGAGTACCAAATTTACGATAATTATCTTCAATTTCTGTCCATGGTGTAAAAACTCGGGCAGTTTGTTTATTACCGTCTTTTGCGTCACAAACTAAACTCGTGGCCGAAAATAGATTCCATTGAACCTATGTGTCGTAATCACCCGCGATATCATTAGTAAATTATTTCTTGAACACACATACAAAGAGAGAATAAGAAAATTCAGAGTTATATAATGAAAAAAATGTACAAGACTTTTACTACCACTCAAACGTGTCTCTCGATTCGGTGGCCCTGTTATCTTGTGTTTCGTTCATGCACGAACTCGACGTTAATTTTGCATTTGATATTTCGACGTTATTCACCGCGATATGCATAATAACGTGTAAAAAAAATGAAACGTAGCAAGAGATGAAGTTATAAATAAAAGAATAAGATAGGATGAGGTGTACACGGAAATAGAAACGTATAAAAATGAATGATATCAAATGCATTTTATCATAGCGACAATTACCGAATGATCTGTAGACTTTAACTTACTTGTTCGAGTAATGCAGGAGGTGCGTCATAAAGATGTTTCATCATATATTCGAGGAGTAATAATAAACGCGATAAATGCAGTAACTGAAAATCTTTCATCGGAGTCTTGACTGCTTCGCTACATCGTACTGCACCGCTTCCGGTAACAAGTAGTACCGATTTCTTTTGCATTAAATTCAGGGAGTGGAATAATATCAAAACTAACTGAGCATGCTCCACGTTTAGATCTGCAAATATCGACATCACCCATGTTATATGTAGATTTCTCTCTTACTCTTAAGGGTTGCTTACCTTCGTTTTCCGATTCGAACGTAGAAGGTGGATTGCATACATACTCTACCATTGTCGTCACTAAACGATGCCATATACTAATGCAGGCAGCTTCTTTTTCCGATTGAGGTTTCAGTAGAAGTACCTGTCAATAACAACTGCTTGTAATTAGTAAAATCAGAAAGGGAAATTAGAAGAGTAAGTATTTTAAAGTAATACACACCTGCGCCAGCACACTCAATGTCCTTGGGTAGACTTGAAGCGGCCAAGTACAAGGAGTTGTGCCGTCTGTTCCGGACCAAGGATTCACGCCCAGATGAAGTAGAAGTGTATTTTGCAAACTTTCACTCAATGTATTTCGAGCCAATAAATTGTGAGTGTAACGACTCAAAGCTTGAGAAAACTCGGAATACATTGTGCCCAAAGTGGCGCCGTAGAATACTGAGATGGTGCCTAAAACGTAGTGAATGTACAACTAATTAATTGTCCACGTAGTCACCGAAAAAAATAAGTTTAGAATTAATTACCAGTTTCCGTTTTAGCAGTTTCATGATCTAAATCTCTAATTATCGCCGCTAATATGACCATTTGTTGTTCGACCAGACCATTTACCACGTACTCTCGCACGTACGAACTTCTACTACCGATCAAATGTTGGTTCATAAATTGGAAAATTTTAGTGGCCAACGAAATGTACTGCAATGAAAGAAAAAAAAACCAATTGTTCTATTCAACTATTACTTACAAATTTGACAATGTAAATAGAAGAAATAAAAAAGATCCCTTACGCCGTGGGGTTCGCGATTATCAGGGACAATGGTAGTCATTGTACGTTCGACGCTGGTTTCGTTGCTGGGTTCTTTCGCACCATTCGCGGATGACCCATCGGACGGAGCGATAGTTTCCTCGAACCATAAACCTAAAATAGGTTCGCTGTCCTCCTCTATCGACATAACAGTTTTTTCTGTATAGCGAGAAGACGCGTTCGTTCTATTAATCATCTCCTTTTTGTGTCGACGATGAATAAATTAAATCGATAACGTTTCTTCGAGGAACTGTTACTGTAATTGTGCGTACGGCATAATGCGAATATTCAGAATACGCACGAAAAATACCAACGAATTATTCAATTCTAACATGTTCGAATCGAAGATTACGTATCGGATTCGAAAGGCAACACTAATCATCAAAGGAAAAGACGTTTCGGTTTCGTATAAACATGATTCTCTTACCTTCGTCGATAGAATTGTCTGAACAACTCAATAGATCTTCGTAATACGTTGTGGAGTCTGACTGACTTAAAGCATCACCTTCGAAAGGATGTTTTTGCACTCTCTTCAAAGTACAAGCCTATAATGAATTTGTCAAGGTATTAGGAAAGAAAGGAAACGAAGAGATACACGAACGATAACTGATCGATTACTACCAACCTTTCGGTAACTGATCGTAGCCAAATAAAATAAAAGATGATTAAGCGGTACAGCTTGAAGAAAAGTTACAGCTCTTTGAAGGGCACTAGCAGTGGACAATATATCCAAGGGCGCCGGATCAGGTGGGACTGTATAATCAGTAACTGCTTCGACCGATACATCTTCTAAAAGAGCGCTCATTAACGTCAGTGCGTGAGAAGCTAAAGCTACCGACAGTACACCAAAACCTTGCTGGCTGAAATCCAAATATATATCATTATCTTTGCGTTCTAATCGATCGCCAACACCGCGATACAAGACGAAGTTACGAAGTAAATGTCTTACACTTTCATGAGATTGACACGAGCCGTTCCATCGCGTGCTTTGCTCGGTGATTTTCCCTTTTCTTCTTTTCCCTTATCAGCGGCGCTAAAACTGCTTACCGAAAGTTGAGCTTGCAAACCAGCTACTAATAACCATACCCCGATGAGCAAGTGATTCTGCAAGATCTGTTATGAAAGATTAATTAATTGTTTAAGCAAATACAAATAAGGATGCTTATATGTATAGTAAAAAGTACATTAAAGTTTCTTACATGACCACCTGCTCGTGTGCTGTTTTTGATGACGTTCGAAACAAGTCCAAATATTTCTAAACTCCTTTCAACCACTGTTATAGCTAAAGTATCGTACTCCTCCTCAGTATTTTTAACACTCTGACTAGTTTGTGTTCCAGCAGAAGCATTTGTACTACATTTTGGTGACACAGCATTCGTTATACCGACGATACTGGATGCAGTTGCATTTGCAATTGAACAATATAGACAAGACATCGTCAAAGTCGATAGTTTTTCTAACTTGGTTGGTGTTAAAGGTTCCAGTAATGGTAAAGACATTACGTTGTGCACGATATTAATATCACTTGCCACAGAATGTAAACTATGGCGTACAGTGTGCGCTTCTGAAGCGTTTGCTGGCAAACTAAAACACTTTTTGTTTAAATACGCTTGATATTTGCGAGTATAACGTGATATATAAGGTAGACTTAAACACATATCCAAGAGGATGTCACCAGCACCCATGTTTCGAAGGATATTTATATTATTTGCGACGAATGTGGTCTGTAAAATAAAAACAATATTCTTTTCAACAATTGGAACCAATGAACTAATCCTTGATATTATTGCTAAAGATATAATGCTACGAAGTACATTATATATATTTACCAACCTTTGTGTCTAAGCACGCTTCATTACCAGTGCCATCATTCGTAGTCTTACCTGACCCATCAGTGGAATTGTCAACAAGAGGCACAGATAGCGTGAAATCTTGTAGAGGCATAGTCAATTGCTCTAGAATGCCACTGGATAAATCACCTCTAATTCGTACAGAATCTTTAGAGGATTGGGAAGCATCTTTTTCATTTCCAGGTGGTGGTGATTTAATATAAGAAGGAATTTTAGAATTTTTTATTGTAGCTATTAAAGCTACCTCTTCGGCAGACGAAAGAAAAGACTGTCCAATGCAAAGAGCACGAATCGGAAGCAACAATTGTTTCGTACTGAACACTGTAGGACTGCCATCTCCTAATTGAACTCGATGCTGTGACAATTTTTCGACTAGACGACGAAGTAGAACTCTGCATGCTTGACAAATTATCGATACTTGACTTTTAGAAACTGAAAGACAAAGAATAAAAGTAGAGATTATGTTAAACGACCAAGGAAACCGTGTCCTACAACAGTTAAGCAAAAATTGAAGAACTTACAGGTATTGGCGCAACCGCTGAGGTAATCCGCCGAAAGGGCTGCTACAGCTGTGTAAAACGTTTCGTATTGTTCTTCATGGGAGACAAATTTGTTTTCACTAAAAACGCAACGAGAAAATAAAGGGATATTAACCAGAAAATAGTTTAACTTTACGGTCGGCCGATTCAGGGCTGTCACTGAGATTTTCGGAAACCGATCGAAACTTTTTTGGAAAAAATTCTTTTCGATAAATAAAATTATTCTCACCTTTTAACGATGCTTTTCGCCAATTCGATAATTTCAGATTTATCGAATGACCCTTGCGAAACCGCTAATATCGGTTTCATTATTGATGACCATTCGTCGTTACCTCCACTCTTGGCCGCCATTTTCGGAACTGTTCGACTTTGTTCGAAACTCAGTTCTCCTCGATAGCAATGTACCTACACACCTTTACGTACGATGTATAAACGTTTCTTTTACGTACACGTGTATCTTTGCCAATCTTTGCTCATCCGAGTTCCTTCGCTTTATTTTACGCAGATGACACCTGCGCAATTTTCAAGCTCTATGTACATACATATTTATATTGGACTGCATTCACACGTGTGTCTACACGTATTTATCATAAAAATAGTACATTAAGAAAAAAGAAAGAACAAGGAGGGTCACACGTCATAGTTCATATATACAATCCTAGCAAATAAAAAAAGACTGTCTTACTCGTCAAAAATACTCAAGTCACTTTTCATATGAACAATCAGAGGGTTCTGCTTGAGGAGAACACGGAACTGCACGGAACACTGTACGGTAAACGCATCCCTTCCCTTCTTGACAAACTTCTAGATGCTTCTAATTTTGCGCGGATGAAACGCTAGAGGGTGTTATTCAAACTTTATAATAAATTACAAATCGGATAAACAAATTATTGCTATTAAGTATGTTTCATTGGCTTTTATAGATTCGTATATATGACATTTATATAAAATATGCAAGATATTGCCTATACTTATTAGAATTAATTGTCAAAATAATAGTATACAAATTTTACAAAAATGTCTTCATTAAATTGATAACGTGATATTGAAATTGAGCGGGAAAAATAGTTTACTAAACTAGTGAAGCGATCTGGTGGGAAAGAGTGTAAATACAGTGCAGTGACTTGCACATCGAAGTACGCTCTAGTATTGTCAATATTATGGGCAATTATCTATCGACCAATCAGAAATCGGAATGTGTCCGCTATCTTCTATCGAAAAGGATATTTTGTAAACAAAACCATGTGGATTTTGACAGGACGATATGTGGGTAAAATTAGGGCAAACTAATAAACGAGCGGTTCACAAGGGTCATTCGTTGATATTGTTAATAAATGAATTGTATGGTAGAATTACTTTGTCAAGACGGATTGCATCGTATAACCTTTAAATGGATGGATAAATGTAGCTTTGGGACAAAGAAAAGTATTATCCGAGGGTTATGTAGATGAGAATTTTGTCCATTTCTAATGCGAGAAAAGACGTAAAAAATATTGAGCCACAAGCTTTGGTAAAAAGTATATTCTTCTCAAAGTAACCAGTGACTATAAGCGCGTATAATTCAAAATTATTTAAGTTTATTTTGACGTTCAAATAGCTCATAGATTTACGTCTAATTATAAGTTCAACTCGTTCGTACAAGCGATACGCGATGCTGGTTTGATTGTTCGCTCAGCTAAGGAGCTTAGTGACATAACGCCAAATGATATCGCTACTTTGGCAACTTCGTGCTTACTACATAAACGATTTTGAGGAAAACAACGCGGTACATATTACGCTGGTTTCGCCCTTATCGTCGTAATTATTAAAGCACTGTCGAAAAATTTGAGGGTTCCCTTCTTTTTGACAATTTTACTCGCGTAAGTTGAGTATTGCGTTTGTCCTCTTGCAGGCTCAATCATACATGTATACATATAAGGAAGCGGCCAGCCTAAATTCGAGCAATTTTCGATTGCAGCATCAACATCGTGTTTACGGTACTACATTGACAGATAACAAATAATATTCGTATAACAAATGCATTTCGCGTTGAAACGGTAACGCGATAACGTTGTCGTACGGTAGACCTGGACTAATTTGAAATATTATTTTAATATATGTAACTGTTATATCACGGTTATTTCATTTCTAAAGTCATTGTTTTGTACTTGAAATAATAAAATACTTATGGAGCTAAGCGAGTGATCGAATGATAATGAAAGGAAAAAAGAGAAATTTATATAACGAATATACTTCAGTAATATTCTAATAAAAAATTTGTTGGGCGATTTGCAATGGGTTAACTATTTTTTCTCTATTAGTGTTATTTGAAATAATTATTTCAGATCAAGTGTGCCCAGGTCTGCCGTAAGGACACAGCTGTATACACTATATTCACATGATTTCGTCGAGCATTTCTCGAGTCAACAACATTGTTTATCGCGTACGATAAATAACAAACGATAGTCTCCCGCGCGTACGAATTTATTTCGATTCGATCCATAAAAGTCGTACCCTCCGCCAATATATTTAATTACAAGAAAAACGTAGAAAATATTTGCTTTTCCATTTAGAGGCCATCGTCGTCGTCGCCGAACATCGTCATCGTCGGTCAAGTGACATATACGAGTCCCGTGTTATTCGATAAAAATTTACTTTTACATATACGCTCCACCTTATGGAAAGCGACGTTCTCAAAAGAATGATGAATGTAACACTTCTGAATCGCCCCACAGTTTGCAAGACTTACAGAATATACGCGTATATGTATAGTTACATGTAAAAGAACAACGCAACCAACAACAAGACACTCTTAGAAAATCTCTGACCGACGGACGAGTATTCGTTTACCAAGATCCGATTACTGGCAGTATATTTAGAGGTACAACGATCGGAAGACGCCAGATCAGACATAGCGATCTTTTTACTTATTTTCGTTTGATTGCACTCGTTGTTAGTGTACTCGTTAAGCCGTTCGATTGAAAGCTCTTAAAGCCTATCTGTGAGCCATCTCGTAAGATTACACACCACTTCTTTGCATACAAATCACCTTATTCGATTGCAAATCGAATAGATCATCTCACAAGAATGAGAGATCAACGTTAGTTCCATCATAGAAGAGCGATAAATAATAGCGATCTTATGAACTATTAGTTTTAAACTATGAAGCAAGGAAACAAACATTCTTCGCTGTAAATTGTATCAAATTTTGAGCGGTTTGTTACGTATTCGGGATATCACTATTTAAGCGTAAAACGTGGTAAACGTTTCACACTGGACGTGGAAAGAGTGGATGTACTTTGAAAATCATGTCCCTCTGACAAACTCTGTACATCTGACTAGCTACTGATTGGTAGCCAAAATTAGGGATTCATCGATTAATTCTTTTCAACTAATTAATCGATTGCGCAATGCGTCATCGCGATTAACGTTAATTGTTTATTAAATTAATGATTATTCTTAAATCACATCAAGTTTGCAACTACGAAGCATTTAATTTTACAAAAATGCGAACTATTTAAAAAGTCTATTCCTGTAGATTCATTTTAAAAGTCGAAAAAATAATAAGCTTGTTGTACATTTTTCAGCACGTTTCAGATAATTTAACACATTTTTATCTAGATAACGAATAACTGATAACATTTTATTTAGATAAAAATGTATTCGAATACCTTTGATGGGGCGAACAACAAAACTAAGCTTATAATTTCGTTATGTTTTCGAGTTTCAAAATAAATCTTCATGAGTCTTTTTTTAAAGAGCTAAATTCTTTTTTAAATATAAACAAAAAATTGTCAATATTCTCCTCTTGATACCGTCGAAGAATAACGATTAATTTAATTAACGATGGTTGCAAGCAATTAGCGATTAGTTTAATTCATTTTAATCGTAATCCGTTCGTACATAACGGATTTCACTTTTTTCTCTAATACACCTCTGTACCATATATCATGCGCGCAAAACAAAATAAAAAATAACATCTAACGATTGTTTTTCACGTTGAAACATCGGATCAAACGGCTAGATGTACGAAAATATTTGTGACCTCTTTCCAGCGTCCATTCTGTTCTAAGTTTCAAAGCAATAGTTTCATTTCCTGATTGAAAATCTTGGTCGATCTTTGTCCGAAACAGTAACAGTATAAGACGCTGTGTAGCGTAGATTTTTCAAACGCATGATATGTACTTGAGAGTGAAAGCTCCAAAAACACGAAAGCGTAAAAAATTGTCAGGAATTTTTAGAGCAATGCAATTTACGGAAATATACAAACTTTACGTACGTTTATACATACATACATTATGATTATTACTGTAACGGGGAAAGATCGATACCTGAATTTAACATTCGCACCTTGAGAGAAGAATTAACTAGCGTGTATGCAGTGATACATGGAACTCGACTAACAAGGAAACAATGCGAACTTTCAAACGTTAATACCGATGAAACTTTGCATACATGTTTATTGATCCAACCTAAGAACTATGCTATTTCTCAGTGCCTTCTGCTTTCGTATTTAAGGAAGAACCCACTCTCCTTACATCAGAGTTAACAATCTTATCCATGATAAGACAGGTCCAAACAGACGTTTGTAATTTAGGAGAGATAGGCACGAACATAACGGGCAGTTTCGACCTTAAAATTGAACAATGGGTACGACGAAATGCAGCATAGTTCTTCAATATCAACATCTCATAGTTTGTGACGTTTCCTTGTAAATAGTCCTGCATACAGTTTGTACTTTCTTGGACACGCAGTCCACTACTATCGCGGTCGTTTGTTTCAGTCAATCTTTGTGGGATCTGCGATTAAGCAAACATTACTAGATACTATTCATATTTTCCACAACTTTTCATCTGCCATCTTTACGTAATAATAGAAAGCAAACAATATAGTGCACGTACGAAAATTTCGATTCATTTCCTCAAAGACTGTCTTTGTCATGGTATTGAAAGTATATTCACCCATCGTTCGCGCAACTTACACAAAATCCAAAGAAGAACCGGACCGTGAAAGTATCTTACGTGTAAAACTGTTAACGATCGCAGTAATCATTCTTAGCATTGTATCACACTTTATTTGTCATGAATCAAGGTCTCCTAGAATATACGCGTGTTGCGCGAGGATTATCGATAAAAAAGTATCAGGACTCACGCAACGTATGCCTGCTTCACGAGATTTGCACGCGAGTTTTAAACCGAGAATATCAAGGTTCTCTCTTTTTTCCCTTCCCTCGTTCTCTCGTCGCTCGAATAAACGAGTAAATAAATACGTATACATATATACGGAGAAACGAGTATACGTACTTATTCACCTGCTTATAATTATATTTACGTATATGAATTTATGTATACTTTGTAAGCGTATTTCTTTCTCTCAGTTCTTCACTTCTTGATGAAAGTTAGATTCCCCCCTCGGCAGAGATAGTCGACATTCTTGCATGTAGAATCAAAACTAGAGTTATAATCTTAGAATTAAATAGTTAATAAACACAGAAAGATAGTTAGTTGTTCGATCGAAAATCATGTCTGTCTCTGCCCTCGGCTTGTTTTTCATAGCCAGATTCATCGCAGTCTGCGTACCTTGATTAAAGTACACGCGAGGGAAGGAGGTGGGTAGACCAGTGGCGTAACCGAAAATGATTTTATAAGAAAAAAGAAAACACATAGTATCAATTAGTCTCCGATTAATGTAGTTAACGACGAACATTTCTTTTTAAATAGTGTATATGCGAAAGTTCCGTTTGATTTTTGATTCTATTTCTTTCAAAATTAAAAGTTTCACTTTATACATATATTGAGATTCAAAGAATTATTAATTGCGCCATTGGGATAGAGAGAAGGGGGGAGATGCATAATGCAAAAAAGGTGGTTGGATGCGAGGAAGACGGTAATATCGAAACCGATCAACGTCCGTCCCATCCGCGCGTGCAAACGCAGAAGAGGCAATTTGGTCGTCTGTATTATTGCGCGGAACCGATGGAAGAACGGTCGCTATCCGTCGACGCGGTATCCGAAAGCGGCGCGGGGGACGACGCTGGTGGCGGCGAATCAGACGCAACATAATGTTCTCGAAAGAGTTTCGTCGACGCCTGAGGCGTTGGCGATAAAGCCATATTCACATTTTCCGGCAAAGGTGGCAACACGTTATTCTGAAAGTGTCCAGATATATTACCCACCGGTCGATAGTTGGCTACCACGATTATTTTTCCACTTCTACTGCGCGCTTTTCCAACTCCAAAATAACGACTGCTTCCCCAAATTAGTTGCGTGAAGTGTCCTGCAACGAAAAGTGCATTCCATGAAAAACGGGGTTTGAAATGCTTCCAGATATAAACGTTTCAAACGGTTATATAAAGGCTCTCGACGAAACTGTTACGAAGAACCAATATTTCTGCAATAACCATTCCAATATCGGCTCTTGTATCGGTTCTAAAACGGTTCTGGCATTGATTTCTCAAAGAATGAAACTGTTGAAAGTGTGTCGCGTGAACTGGGTGACCCAAAGATAGCGTTACATGTTTTCCCTTGAAACCGGTGCAGTTATCGACTACAATACCTTTTTTGAATTAAATAGAACAGGGGAGCTAATCATTTGAAAAGTAACACAGTTTTCTGGAGCGATTGTTATTAAGGATCTCCGCTTATGTTTCCAAATAGAATAATATGTTAACGAAAGTTTTCTGCATGTTTAAGACAGACCATAAATCTTAATCTTCGATTTCATTTAACTTCGATCCCGAGTCAGTGACACTTTGACAGCATTCTTTGTACTAGAAAAATACCTGCGTTCACGTTGGCATGAAGAATATCCGGTTCTTTTAAAAAGTCGTATTGTTTCACCGCGGAGTACCAATAAGATGCGACGTCTTGTCCAGTTACGTCGGTAGGAACTGCACCACCGGGTCGACAATAAAGATTCTGCCCCACTTCTCGATCGTTTCTGTAGTAGAACGTATTCGTATGTGCCAAGTGATTAGCCCACGTTTGCGCATATTCGCATAACTGCAAAAACAGATAAAATCCATCGTTTTCTTATGTAGTTTTTTAGTAAATAATGTCGAGGAATTTCTTAATCCCTTTCTCTTTACAGAAATATTTTTCTAAAATATTTTTACATTATCTCGGTTCGATCAAAAGTTCCACGATTTTGACACGAAAAATACAATTTATGACCACGAGCGCCGCACCGATATGTATAGTGCGTGTGGAACAAATATAGCGATCTCGTAAAAATTGTACGGAACGAAAACGGTAGTGCCCTTGAATATAAGATGTCAACAGTTCACGGTCAGCCAGATGTGATCCATATTGGGTGCTGAAATCATGAATACCTGGACGTTTCAAGGTGGACATACGTTGTCAGCGATAAACGGTCTCGCGCTACGCTACCACCGCTAATACATTGTTTTCAAGGACAAACTTTTCTCCAAAAGTATGAAAAAACAAAGTTCCATGAAAAGAAATTCAATGTTTACCTAACCCAGATCCATAACTCTGGATTCTTTAGCCAACAAATAGCTATTCAACGGGGAAGAAATACGTTTGGAAGCTTGTACTCGACGAGGAGTATCAAACGTAAGTGTCTCGCGAGTAGATCGCTGTAAAATTTCTTCCACGCGCTCTACACATGTTATGCTACTATCTTCTTTTCTTTTTTCATTTATGCCAAAGTTTTGCGTGAGCGATTACACGCACTTATTTCTCGCACCAACAGTAGAGAAAAATAGTGTCGCAAATGATACAAACGTATAATTAATTTGTTGTAAAAGGAACGATAAAAATACTAGAGATTTTTAGAATATTCCGAAACGTCAGTATTCTCACCTGAGGGGACATCGTTAGCGGTGGGGCGTTGTGCCTCTGTCGATAGACATTGTGCCAGCACAAACATTCGGTAATAAATTCGCTGTCTCGCCAGTCGGTCTCCAGATCGTTACTGTCGTGCGCGATACTCATCGGTCTGTTACTCAGGATCTAGGTGGTATCGGTACAAAAAAGAGAGCAGGGGCCAGTAAAAACGTGCCGTTTGGTTAATATGCAGCTAAACATCTAGGCTCCCGCGCGTTTCGTCCTCCGAACATCGTCCTACGCACCGCGGACCCTAGACCATCGTCCACGGTTTCGTTCTCTCACCTTTTTTAAGAGCTTTGGCCGATTATCGAGCCGCTCGGTTTGTTCGTTATTCAAGACCGAAGATGCAGAAGTCGATCCGCAGGTATCTGAAATTCGATTCGCTTTATACAATTTTGATTGGTCCACTCTTTTTCGGAGGTTTTCCAATGCTTTCGCTTCTTCTCTCTTTCTAGAAGGAGGCCAATTTGCGTTCGAAGTGTGTATCATACTGATACCAACGCATGGCGAATCCTAAAATGCAAAAGAGCAAACGTTGTTGTTTTAAGAATTTCTTTTTATTTTAGAGAGTCGTATCAGTCCTTCTGATCCAAGCATGCCAAGAGAGAGGGGGGGCACTGGATCATGGGGAACGTGTGCGTATTCAGAATCACGGCCTGAAAATCGTGCGAAATTTGCCTCTGCAAGAATACTCTGTAACTGTACGCCCCATCCCCTCTCTTATCGTGCACGTGGATGGACACCGTCAAAGTTTAACGAATACAGGAAGTAGTGAAAATTTATTTTTCATGTCAAGGTTGTGTAATCCCTTAAATACCCCCTTCCAGGCCGAAAAAGTGTCGATATATGGGAACTTTTTCTGGCGATACTAAATATCCAATCTTCTAGATTATACTAAAGAAGAGATTATACTATGAATAATTAATTAAACTTGCCAAATAAAGCTAACTTCATCTTTAATCTTATGTAATGAGACATTTCAGTTCTACATACGTATGTACCACCTATAGAGCTCGCGTTTCCTACTTTGGAAAACACTGATTTAAAAGTAAATTACGTACAACTTGTATAATTCTATTAAATTTCTTGAAAGATTAAAGTTATCAGAAAGTTTTGCACGATTCGGTTTCAAAGGACAAGTCGAACGAATCCCGAAAATAAAGATTCGCTCATTATTACGGAGAACAAACGTGTTATCGAAAACGATAATAGCGTTTGACTTTCTCTCCGTTCGGTAACACAACGCGAATTCGGTATCAATTCCAAAGCAAATGATCAATTATTAATTTTCATACGATAAGTAGGTATCGACTATCGTTTCAACGCATTGTAAAGAACCAGTGAATGTTCGGTTGCACTGACGAAATTCGCCGAATTCGATGCGTTTATCGATGTTCGCATTATAGGTAAAGATCAGACAACGGGTTAGACGGAAAGAACAGACGTGATACACCACCTTTTGTTGGTTGCCGTTGGTAACATTAAAGTCTGCCAAGTGAGCAGTTTGGCTAAGCAAACGACGACTGGCAGGACATCGATTACGATTTATTATCTCCTTCTGAATGGCATACTCGATGAAGTAGCTTTCCATTTCCGCGTTATCGCGATGGGACGGCGGAAGAAGTTCCGTAGTCTCTTCTGCAGAGTCAAAAATGCGATTTATTTCGCGCAACTCCATCGCTGAAGACAATTCACTACGATTAATCTGGGAACCGACTGCAACTGTCCGCGAATGTAAATGTACTCGGTTCACCGCAGTTAACCGCAACTGCCGGCTGTCGACTGTCGAGCCACCACCTTCGGCTACCTCGATAGACCCCCATCTATCACCCTTTTCCTACCAGCGCTGTGCTCTGTAGGGGTTTATACTTGCGCCGACGCATTTCGGCTACTTGTGCACTTGCGCGTACAGTACGTTCTCTGTACAATGCCGCAGACGGAGTTGCACTTGCGGAAAATTCTCGAAAACAGCATTATATCAAACGACCCTTGCACTCGACAGTTTATGGTCGAAGCTGAAGCAAGAGGGTAGGTGCGCATGAATATTTCTAAGTTCCATTTTAGCAGTGTACACGTAAATAAGTAAATCATCGAAATGTTCGATCGGTTTCTTGAAATAAATTATATTCCATCGTACTTGACCTTTAACCATAGGTCACTGTACGTATCTTAAAATATTCTTCTAGAAGGCAAGTAAGAAAATTGATCTCGTGAGTTTGTTCCCATCGTCAATGATAGGCAAGCTATTCGGGTGACCTGTTTTAAATGTCTTGTCCTGTATGCACATCCTCTCCATGGAGTCAAAATTCGGCAACACACGTATGCGCGCTGCGGCATCGACAGGCACTGCAGTTGGCTGCATCTGATTAGCCCACGCGTGAAATTGACCGTTCGCAACGAGTACGAGTATTCCAACATACTATAGTACATACAAATTTATCCGCGTGTTTTCACAACCCGAATAATGATAGTTGTTTAACGGTCAAAGAGAAGAATTAGTTTTTTTAACTCATGATTAGCACCCCCGACGACTAAACGCACAAATCTGTAGTAAAATTGAACGAACAGTTTATTTAATGTTTAGTAGGCAACACTATAATATTCATATTATAGATGTCCTTATGCATACATTTCTTAAAGGGATAATTAAGGTTGAAAATCTTCAATAAACCATTCTAATTTGTTGGAATACCTCTACGCGCGTTTCCGTCCGTCGGCGCTACCGAAACTTGCGCACTCTTTAAACATTTTCAATGAAAATATTTTCGTAAAGTCTTGTCCTTTTTAAAAACATTTTTGTAAGATCTCCATAAAATACGAATAACTTCTACGTTCCACATGTACACGTCCAACTTGCTCATTTCTTCTTCAACTAAAATAAGAGTGTATATAACAGTTTTATGCGTAATTGTATAACGCCAAATAAGATTCCATTATAATAAATCTTACATGTTAATAAAGATTTTATCACATATCTTGCTATTTTACAGTTATTACTTTTAATTATTTTAAAAATATTTTGAAAATTCCTTTCTACGTCGATAGATAATTCTTTTATCAAAATGTGAGTACGTATCGCATGGTATAAACACGCCTCTTGTAATATTTTTATGATTGTAGTTTTGGAGTTAATTGTAGTGTTTATGACAACTGTTGATAATTTCAAACCTGTCATACTATGTAACCGCCGTTTAAAAAGTCTAAACAAACTTTATAATTAAAATTAATTAAAAACAACAGCTTATACGTGAATGAAAAGTTACTTACTCCAGTGGAGTTAAATCATCTTTTAAAGAATATGATGTTAAGTAACGTACACCTGTATCGAGATATGTGGGCTCTATCTCTAAAGTGTTACAATTAATTTTGTAACCAATATAAGTAATGCTGTTTGTACTTGTATTTGTATGACTATAAATATTACTCTGAGTTTTCAATTCTTTGAAGCGGCAATTATATCGTGGTATACCCTTCTTCGTTATTTGTAAAAATCTATTAAATAAAGTAAGTAAAATTATAATAAAAAAATAAAATAAATTTATTTTGCATTTACAGATCTATTTGGTCGACGTTGAATCCCGTTATGTTTTTCTTTATTTTGAAGGCAAATAGTAAATAGGCTTACTTTTTTGCAAGAATTTCATTGTTAGATGCGTATAAAATATCATCCACGTATCTTATCATTTTTCCACATTCCAGAAATATTTTCAAGTGTTTATACACAATAAAATTATAATATATGTCTGCAAAAATAGGCGATAACATTGTACCTTGGCAAACTCCTTTTCCTACAATATAAGTCTTTTTACGTATCTTAACCTGCAAGTTATAATATATATTAAACTTCATTTAAGTCTAATAGTTTCTCTGTAAGATCTGTTTCAATTAATTTCATACCCTTTGATAAAATATATATTTCCAAATTTTATCTAGCAACCATTTTTTTTTTATCAACCGAGGGTTGTCATTATTTATACATGTATATAAACTACCAGATGCCAAAGGTAATTGTAAATGAGAATCAGAAAAATATTGTTTGTAACATATAGTATTCTGTGGGTACTTTTTAATTTTAATTGCATATAATTTGAGTTCTAAATCCTCGGGAAGCTTTTCACAAAGTAATTGTATGACATCATACAAGTGACCTGAATACCAAACAGAAATTTTTATATACATTAATATACATAAAATATATTCGAAATTAAATAAGATCATACTCTGTATTATAGAACCAAATGCATCCACTACATCACTAGACACGAAGTAAAATTTTCCAGTCTTCGAATTATTTTTGTATCGAATAATTGATTTCCATTTCTCTTTAAAATCGGTTAATCCATATTCTGTGATAGTCAATTGCTTGAGGAACTTGAAAATTATATTTAAATTATCTTTGTCATCTGCTTTGTGTCTAAAAAGTTATAAGTTACAGGAAATTTGGAATTTAATACATTATTACAATACTAACGTATCCTACTTACTCTGATACAAGTATAGGTCGTACATTAGAATACTTGGGGCATAATTTATAAACACCTATCGGCGGTCGCCATTCATTACATTCAATATCAGGTTGTAAAAAATTTCTATGTATTCTTTTTTTAATAAAGTGTTTTTGAACATTGCACCAAGTTGAACGTATAATATATACTCTTTCATTATTTCTTGTAGTGGATGTAGTTACATGACACTGAGTACGTAATATTTTAATCAAAAATCCAGTAAAAAACCACTTAACAAATTTCGCTATAACAAGCAATTGTGTCTCTGTGCTTTGTATATTTTTTAACCATGTAATGCTAGAGATCTAAAATGCAGTACAAGTTTATTTATTTCATAATTGAATTATTTGCATTAAATAGACATTGTACGTACATCTAATTTTTCAATAACTGGTCTCAAATTAAAGGATTTAAATCTTGGTATATTCAAAAGTTGAGACATCCCTTTCTTAATTTTTTTATGATTCCTTAACTTTCCAAATACATTAAATGGAACTACTTTAGCAAGTATAAGATCAAAGAATGACTTTAAATGTTTTACGCTGACTTCATAATTACATTTTAATGTTTCTTCAACTTTTTGTTTTTGGGTTAAGTGATTCAAAACAGCAGAATAATTAAATTTTTTATGCTGTTTCTGAAACTGTTCTAAGAGGAAAGAAATAGATGAGATGGAACTTTCATAGTCAACAACGATAATGTCTCTCATTGTTTTTTGTATAATGAATTCATATATTTCTTTTCCATTCTTGGCAGTATTTAAAATATAGTCGTTGGAAATTGTATTAACTGTCTGGCTAGGTAAAGTTGAAGATGTATCGTACACGTAAATTTGTAGGTGTACATTAGCCTGAGATAAAATGGAAGAAACATCTGTTGTTTCTTTGCAAAACTTTTCTTTCCTTCTTTTATTAATCTTAGATTTATTATGTAATCCTACAATAATTATTTAATTAAAGTTTCTAAGTATTATTACATTTGAAAATACACATAGATAATTTTTATTTTAATAATACAAACAAAATTTGCATTAAACAAGGTGTTACATGTTTCAAGAAGTTAAAATAATTATGCTACTTTTTTGGAGAAAGTTTCCTTCATCTGAGACAGGTAAGGACGATTTACAACTCTGTATCTCTTTTAGTCGATTATCTATTTTCAACGAGGATGCATCAAGGACGTCGATGCATGTTTCTAGAACTCTAGTATTGGGTACCATAAAAGCACTGCATTTATCTTGTTTCACTACTATATTATGACGTGTACAATATCTAATCGAAAAGAGGTAAGAATTTAACATATTAGTAGAACAATACGAAAATTAATTACAACAGGGATGAACGAAAACAAATACAAACCGTTGAAAATCAGAACCAAAAGCTGCTTTTAAACTCTTTATGGTCGAATTATCCATTATCTGCACTTATTCTCTGATATCTAAATATCTATATTTTCTTCTGTGCAACAGTGACATGAACTTTAAACGAAGATATATCAAAATAAGTTAAATTGAAACATTGAAGCAGTTCAAACTTTTGGATCGCTTCCTAACACGATCAAACACGATTGGACGGATAATAATTCTGTGAATTCTGCGCACTGATATCTGATTGTGGCGACCTCTTTGACGAAGCGTAAAACATCTTCCAGATAACGCAGTTGGTATGTTACCTACAGAGACTAAGGTCTCTAGTTACCTGTTAAGTTATACTCACGATTTCAGTTTGTTACCAACAGGTATCATTCGAATCGTCTTCTGTGAATTGTATATCTCACTTGGTAACATCGTAAAAGATAAGATTGAAAGTACAGATAAAATATCAAACCAATATACAAATAAATCGAAACAAATATTTAAATGGAGAATTACTATATGTAAACATTGTACAATCTTTTTCCTTTAAAATGAAGCTATCTATATATGAGCGTGATAAGATCCTTTTTGAAAGTTATAAAGATCGGTAATGTCCACTGTTTTGTTCATTCGTTACACCTTTAACTATCAATTAAAATAATGTCTTAGGATATAAATTTGCCTTGAAGATGTAGAAAAATTAGGCCATCCAAGGATAAAATAAGGAGTAATAGACATAGGATTTACGAATTGTATTCTGGTCATTGTTAAAAATCATTTTTTTTTTCTACGGATATTATTAACACAAAATATTCGTTCTTTGAGTTCAATACCCTTCGTCTGTCCAAGTGATGGTGTAATTGGGGTATTTTTTTTTCAGGATACCAACAGACATCTCATGATCCGCCTTTCCATAACCCTGAAAGCGTGTAAAATATACAAATTAGATCACTTGCAAATCTCACATCTTTCAGAAGTGATGATCAGTTTCAGTTCATCCCTAAAGAATAAAGGATTTACAAAAAATGCCTTTGCTGTTCTATGGGATAATGTTCGATGTGCACACAGAATCAATTAATTTTGAATATCAATTGTTTTAGATTGGGAGGTCCTCGCCTACCGCGAATCAAGTTTCTTGTACAAATAGAATTTCAAGCTATATCCATTTTTACTCTTGCACTATCAATTTAATTTTCATCAAACTCTTGAGTCCTACCGTAACTTTTATCCTCGACTTAATAACGCGACGATGTTTTATGAACAGTATTCGAACATCAGCGAGTAACTCTAAAGTTTCGAGCTTGGGTGCTCGACGGCCAGGGAAGGCTTTTAATCATTCAAATCTCTCGCCTAATGTGTTTATAGCGATCTTTTAGGCCCGGGCTACTTTGTCAAAGTGAGGTTTTTCATTAATCAGTAGTACCACGATGCTTTTTATGTAGGATAATTAAGAATAACAGGTTTTGTATAGTACATTCGAAGATTAAACGACTTTCTGTTTCGATTACGTCAGCAGTGGTCTCAGAGAACTACGACCTTGCTCAAATTTTCAATCAAAAAAAAGAAGTCCATCGAAGAGTTCATACTAAGGAAGACTTTTCTACTCCAATGCAAACACAACAATGTTCTATCTATTCCATTAAATCTAGAGAGGATCCAATGCGGCCTCGAAACGTTGAGTCAACATTATTCGGGAACGAACAAGTGGTTTTGTAGATTGAATTTGTTTCCATTAGAGGAAAAAAAAAAGAAAATGCAAGGATGACTTTCATTTCACCATAGCATGGGAACTTGGCATACGTTTTTTCCTGAACAATAATTGCAAGGATTCTTAGCCTGTCCATGGCTATACCAAGCTATCGATTTATTAAAATGAATAGGTGAACATGGTTTTTCTGTAAAGTCGATTTTCTTCGATGGATGTAACAAGGTGTTGAGTTGGAGCACTCGAATTAAAGCAATGCAAGCAAAACACACGAGAAAGCTCGTATGAGCTTATTTTAACTTGTACTTATTTTTGCGACTTCGCCAAATTCACGAATTCTATGCAGATTCATTATCTTCAACTTCTCATCTTCGGAATGAATTTATTTACTTCTTTGGTTCACGATCAGCGTGTTAAACTGCGCTGTGAGTTCTGAACAAAATAAGGATCTGCTGTGCCGTGAACTTAGAAAGGTTAATAACCGCTGGATTAAATCGACGAGGTTACGAAGTTCGTTAGGAGGTATTAATTTTGCAACTCGCCTGAGAATATCCGTATACTTTGAGGGTTCTCTCGTCGGGGTCGTGCTCGATTCTTCCGCCACCCATACACTTTGCCGTCAAACCGGGGATCGCCGTCACCTTTGCGTTTGCTATGTCGAAAATGTCCGCTGAAACAGAGAGGGTGAACAGTTGTTTTATATACCATGACGGGGATGTACAAAGCTTCAAGGTCCACTTCGTCCCTTCAACCCATTAACCGTGTTGTTTTTCCACGAGAAACTCTTCCTGTACGAGGGATTACAAATGGGTCAAGGATAAAGATGATGGTAGATGATGTTCAATCTAACCATCTGATAATTGAAAAATATCATCATCTTTACTCTTGAGTGGAAAAAAAAATACCAATTTCTTTAATTCTAAAAGTTTCTTCATCGAGGAACTTTTGATCATTTTCTGTAGATGTTCTGATCCTGTTAATTACTGATCTTCAGGATATAAGTTTACGTCGATTAAATCTTTAGTGCTCGTGAATTTTGGTAGAAGTAGGAGTGAAATCTTAGTGGAATTGAATGCATTTCCACTATTTTCACGTTAAAAAATCAAGGAAGCTCGAAGCATTCCGCGGGAAGGAAAATCGATCGGTGATTACTCGCATGCTTTCGTTTCCAGGAACTAAAAATCAGATTCTCTCTTCTACGACGTCCCACGAGAATCCATTTCCTCTTCCCTGGCGAACGCATAAATCAATATTTCGCGACCGGTCCACGAAACGAGATCAAGTAATCTTGTTAAGGGGATATTCAGCACCAAAATATTCGAAAACTTGTTTGTTATCCGTTACTGCATTTATTTTGAGCTTTTGTTTATCGAAAAATTCCTAAAATTGATGAAAACACTGCAGGGAGGTACTATATCAGATTTTTGTTTATATTACGACAATTTTTCTGAATCACATAACAGTAATAAGTTATCTAAAAAAAAAAAAAAGAACTGTACATTTATGTAACTGAATTCCCATGATTATTAAACGAAGAAAAATATATAGTATATGTATCGGTCGGTGACGAATCAACCGAGTATACTATTGGAAGCGGAGCGAGCATTTTTTTTAAATAATCGAATAAGCCGTTCGTGCGCGCACATACGATACGCCGCATTAACAGTGAAAAGAGTCACGTTTTGTTTTGAACTTTGTTCGAGCTGCACGCCGTAGAACATATGGTTAAATAAACGCGACGAAACGTCCAACAGTTTATTCAAAAACACGAGGCATTGCGATCATCTTGATTTCTATTAGCCACAGACAATATTAATACATCCTATGATATTTATTTCCCTTTTTAGTATATTTACTCTTGCGACCAATGTAAATTTACGTCGATAGGAATGCATCATTATGAATTTGATTTGTTAGACGTATCAAACGTTTAGAGCAGTGATTCCCAAACTGTGAGCCGTGATATATTTTAAATATGTAAAATATGAATGTAATATGTAAAAATGTAAGAGAAATAAAAATAAATATTGGTAAAGTTGAATAATAAAGAAATTAAATTTTATGAAATAGTAACACTTATATTTAGTTAGCTTGTGCCACAAAATGTAGTCTGTTTAACATAATTCAGATTAGTCTCATATTGATTGGTGTTAAAGGAGCCGCCGAGAATAATTTGTATACTAAGAAAGCCGCGGGTTTAAACAGTTTGGGAACCTCTGGTTTAGAGGAAAGTGTCGATATTCTATCAATTAGTTCTAGTATGACTTTCTCAATATTAACGATGAAATTAAATTTTCAGTAAAAGTAAAAGTGGTGAAAAACATGTTAAAATTTACAAAGAAGTTCGAAGAAGAAAGTGCTTCAAACTTGGGCCGCCTAGGACTCCCAAAAGCACGATACAAGGAGATAAGTCAGACATTAACCACTTTCCTCTACATACGCAGTTTTGTGTCCTTAGAAAAAAAAATTCCAAAACCGGCATTTTTTTGGCCCCTAAGATGGCGTTCCGTCTCGAAGCTCCGGTTAAGAGCTTAATTGTTCACCAGCCGCGTATCTACAGGTTGCAAACGTATCGAATACAGTGTGTGCACGCGTACCTTGATCCACACGTGGCCGCGACATCCTTTGAGGTGTTCTAGACTATGGTGTATCGCGTGTTAACGCAGGAGGAACGATCAGAGAAACTTCCATAGGAGGATTGCACTGGAACTATGTAGATAGTTTCCTGTGAAAGCAAAGCCACCGACAAATTAGATCCATTGAACTTCGAAGGTGTTCGAGGCTAACCAACGCGCGCTCCCTCCTTCTTGAATTACTTATGAGAATTTTAGCGAAAGTTTCATCCTTCGTTTCGTCTTTTTCAAAAGAGAAGTTACAAAGAATAATTTATTTTTCCCAATAGAAAACTGTTCAGAGAACAACTGCACGATTTCAAAGACAACGCGAGGTAAGTTGAAGTTTCTCTACCTTTTTCGTAAGCGGAGATCATTGAAGAATCAAAGGCGGTCTTTACCTTTGCTTGCCGACATTTTCTTTTTATATATCTAATGGAGCTTCAACGGCTGCTCAAAGGAAAACCATATGAATCAGGTATGAAGATCAGGTATTAAAGAAAACAAGCCTGGATAGGATTCGTGAGGTTTGATTGGTTTGTAAAAATAAAACTATCGCATATGTTGATTGTATAGTTTCCAACTGTATAAGAATCAAATTGTAGCTCCGTAAATATTTTCATGAGTATGTCTGGCACACAAAGTATTAAACTATCCTACTCCTTATGTGTCAGACCAGCAATTCAGGAAGGTTTAACCAATGCATCTGTGTAATGTACATAAACAAAAAGCGTTCTTGGCAAAACAAAAAAAAAAGATCTTTATCTTTGCTCGCAATCGTCTTTTCTTGAAAATCTATCGCTGCGAAATTCACCGCGGTAAATTTCTACCTGTGTAGCATTCGTAAAAATGTTTCCAAGGAAGATTCCCCGTGGAAACGCGAGCTTCGTGTTAATGTGAAGAGTACACCTTGATCATAAGTCAAGAAAAGAGATTTCCAATTCGAGGCCAATGTATCGTTCGGCTCTATGAAACGGAGAAAGGACCACTGGCAAAAGAGACAGGATTGCTCGACGTCGCTTCGCCCCGGACAATCGGAGACAACTTCGTTTTCTTCGACGATAAAGGGAACCCATGCATATTAAATACGATTTTATTGTCCGGCATTCAGACGACGGGATTGCATGAATTCCGTTGAATGAAACCGCCGACACAGAAGCGACGATAGCAGAAGAGCTCCTGGCTGCCGGACAGACGAGACGGAAAAAGGCGATATTGGCTTGTCAAGAAATTAATATCGTTTCGCAGTCTAGCGTAATTCGCTCCTCAGAGGCATTCAAATTTAAAGTTTAGCAGACAGGAACCAG